CTGGGTGCTCGATCCATTGCCCACATGAAGGGGGGCAGCTCCCTCGCACGTCTTGTTGTCGTGGGCTTGTGAAAGGACTCCATCTTGAGATAATTGTGGCTTGTCACGCAACATCGGTGCTGTGGCAGTTTGAGAGAGGAAAGACAGCTGACATCCTTTGGGGTGTGTACCTTTACAGACTGAATCTAGCCAATGGTCCTTTTCTCCCCTCTTCGGAGGGAGCCCTGGAGCTGTTGTGTGAGAGGAGGGGAGGGCTCATCCCTTGGGTAAGAGCTCTGAAGAGTCTTTGGGGCAAGTTGTCATATCTGAACTGGAATAGAAAGACAATTGTAGAGCAGGCAGGACCTACTCAAGTTGTCTGGTGGGCATGGAAACTTTGAAAACGTATCCTCAGACGCTTCTCCGCCAAAGACCCCAGCTGTTGCCTGATGAAAGGGAGCTTCAGTGCTGAGATTTCTCCCCCGTGCTTGCTTCTTTCTCAGCTGGCTGCTCTTGGCACGTGATTTTCACCTCGTTGATTCTGGCCTTCACTTCCTTCCCTGTCCGCAGGGCCTCAATGCTAAGGATGCCATCGTGGGTCACCGTAGCTTTGACCAACAGAGGATCAACATCCAGAGGAAGGATGTAGGTTCTGGTGAACTCGCGGGAGATGAAGCCGTGCCGGTCGGCTTTCTGCGGATGCTGAGCTGTCACTTCCAGGAGATTGTCCACGGTTCGGACAGTAATCTCATCAGGCGTGAACTGGCACACATCCAGGAACACCTTGAATTTGTGATCATTAAGGCTGACCTCAGAGATACCTCGGTCCAACTGCTTGTTAATACGAGGTCTGATATAGTAGCCATGGTACAAGGTGGGGGTCAGAATTTCCCCAGGGGAAATGCCTAAGACAGAGAGGAGATGGTCATTCACAGATTCTACTAGAACTGAGTACAGAAAATGCAAAACTGAATGCAAAACATAAAAGCGGGCAAAGAAAAACGAAGTGCCACTTTTTCTCCAGACAGAAGAGTGTCAAACCCTTTGGAACTGTTCTGCTTGGAAAAGCAGTGAGAACCCGGACACATGCCAGAGGTGGACAGAATTATGCATGGTGTGGAGGAAATATCGAGGGAGACACTGTTCCCCCTCTCCTAGGATACCAGAACCCAGCAAGATCACCCCATGAAACTGGAGGCTGGAAGATTCAGGACAGATACGAGGAAGGGCTTCTTCACGTGGTGCTTCATTCAACTACGGAATTCACCTCCATGAGATGAAAGATGGCCACCAATTCGGATGGCTTTAAAAGGAGATTGGACAAATGTACGGAGAAGATGGCGATCCATGGCAACTAGTCTTGCTGGCTATATGCTGCGGCCTGTATCACCCAGCATTTTCCCACTGGGCCACCTTCCACCATATATAGGCATGTGGCTGGCAGGCATTTTTAGCCTTATGCTCCAAGAATCCTAGCAGAATTCCGAGAGAGAGAGGAGGAGCAGGTGAAGACGACGACGACACTTGCTCCAGCTGGACTCTGTTCATCCCATGCTCCTCTTCCACCAACTGTCCTGAGGGAAGGCTCTGATGATCTTTAAAAACGGTTACTTGTCAGCCGCCTTGGTAGGATTTCTATCCTGACAGGCAGCCAATGCAAAATGGTAATAAATGCCTCATAAATGGATGGCTTGACTCAATACAAAGGCGTTTTTCCAGGAAGCAAGTATCCCCAAATGGTCAAGACAGCTTTGTTCGGTTTCTTATGGAGTTCCTACCCCGGCCCACCAACTTCTTTAAATGTGGAAGGAAGTGGCCCTGAGGATTTGGCCATCAGTAGCCACGATCACTGACTGCAGCCGGGCATAAAGCACAAACCCTCTTCTGTGCCCTGGCCTCGTCCCACCAGCTTCTCTTTCGGGCTCCCCACGTCCCGCTGCGCACTGATGGCGCTCGGAAGGGTGCCGAATGGTTGGCTGCTGCCTCCAGTGTTCTTCCCCTCTCCGAGCCCAGCCGGGGCTTTGTGCGCAGCCCACCGGCTCAGCTTTTCATTGCTTAACTGGGCTTCCCAAAAGTCTTGGGTTGGCAGCGTTTTCCTAGTGCACCTTCCTGCCAAATGCATTCCACAGATTTTCCTGGATTGGCGGCCACTGGGTGGGGAGGACGGTCTCATTCTTTGCGCGGGGTCTCTTGCCATTTGGCACTCTTTTTAGCTTCTTGAAGAGAAGCAGTCAAACCGCCTCATCTTCAGTCGCCTCCTCCTCACGCCTGGAATGATGCCTCGCCACACCTAAACATACATTCCCGCCCTCCGAATGCCCAGTGCCGGTTAGCAAGTGCGGCCACTTATAAATCACCAACAAAAGAGGACGATTTGGGTAAGAATCGCCGGCATCCATAGGTATAGATGCAACTCAGAAACAAAGGTGTGACCAGGTCACCTTTCCCAGTCTGTTAACTAGTTTTAGGGTTCTTTATCGTTTAACTGGAATTGCACAGGGTAGTCATCCTTTGAACAGAGAACACCTCCTAAGAGCAGCTGGGCCTCAGCTGAAGAAGGCACCCAGGCACCCAAAGGTGGGGCTCCTGTCCTGAGCAAAGCCCTTTTCTCCCAGTTGTCCAGCTTTTAGGGGTGCCTCCCAGGGCTGGTGCCGGCACCAGCATCTTTGAGCAGCAGCCACGGTGGCACTCCAAACAGCATCAGGTGGCTGGATCAAGCCACCCTCCTTTTAATTTCCCACAATGCCCCAGCCCCAGCTTTGTTCCAGATTATCATGGGGAGAGGGAAGCATCTTCAGGGTTTCGCTCCTTCCGCAGAGATCTGTAGAAGTTAAATCTACGGGGCAAACCCACCCGCAAGGCCTGGCCACCCCACGCCAAACAGAATCCTGCTGAACTGGGGAAGGTGCAGAAAGGGGCCAGGCAAATGCACACAAGGAAATGTCACAACATTTGGATTGTTGTTGCTTGGGAAAAAGGCAGGGCAGGAAGACACGGCGGAGGGGTATGGAACGGTGTGTGGTGTGGAGAACGCGAACAGGGCGCCTGCTTCCCTGTCTCTCATCGTGCCGCGTGAGGCCGAGTGGTGTGACGCGAGAGGCCAAGGGAAGGAATTCTTCACACAAACCAGTGGGAGTTTGCTGCTTCAGGGTGTGGTGCTGGCCACGCCTGCGATGGATGGCCTTAAAAGGGGATTAGGCAGACTTGGGAAGGACGCGGCTTCCAAATGCAAGCGGTGCTTGTGGTGATGTGCTCACATCAGGTTTCCGCATGCAGCTGTGGGGACGCTGGCAGGAAAAACCTGCTGCGCTTTATGCTGCAGGCTGCCCAGCCGCTGGTCAGAAATGGGAAGTCAGGCTCGGAAGCGTCTGGCCTGGCACAGCAGGGTTCTTCCCAGGCGCTGCAGAGTAAATGATTAAACGCACGGGAGGTTTAAAGTGCCTTCCCCGCGCAGAATGTGTGTGGGCCGGGTGGGAATGGATCCAGGCGGTGCCGACAGGCCTGAGCATGCTGGAGGGGGTGCTCAGAAGGGCCGCTTCCAGAAGGCCTTGGGTGCGAGGCAGGGGATGCTGACCCTTGCCCACCGGCCGAGATCGAGGCAGGCGCAGCGGAGGAATCCTCACCGGAAGGCTGGGCTGGCAGGGGAAGGTCACAGAGTGGGGCTGGCACATGCCCCGGAGCCTTCGCCACAAAGGCGAGCTGAACGATGGCTGGGACTGCGTGCACCGAGGGTGGGCAGCACCGATCCCCGAGTCAGCTGCCCGCAGCACACAAAGGGCCATTTGAGCTGCTCCCTCGACAACAACGTGGGTGCCGCCGCAGAAAGCTCAGCCACTGAGCCGGGAACAAAGGCTGGAGGGGGCACACCTTGTCCTTCAACAAAACGGGGCTCCCAGCAGCCTGCCAAACACCTGCTTGTCGGGCTGCCGGGAGAGGTATTCTTCCGGGGACACAGGGCATGTGCTGTTTCTGCAGAAAAACAGTGTGCTCTGGGGGGACTCCCTTCTCGCACGCTCCCTTTCTGCTGACGGCCGTCCTGATCGCCTGCTAAACAACAGAGCCGCTGGCTGGGCGTCACTTGCAGCAAATATGGGGGGGGGGGCTCTAGAGCTGCTACGAGGCCCACCCCAAACCCCAGCAGTTGCTCAAATTTGCTATACATGCTTTCCTGGGAGTAAGTCCCAGCAAACTCACACAAGCTTACTCCTGAGTAGACGTGCCTGAGAGGACAGTATTAACCCACATAACTCCTCCATTCCCACCAACACAGAAATGGATGATTGGTGTTTCCAGTCATGCACCCACTGTGCTTTTGCCACATTTTAAAAACATTTTCCTTAAATGTCTACCCTGAAAACTCAAAACCTTGCTCACCACACTTGTTTCATTGTGCCTGTTTCATATTACGTAAATGTTGCTTTGAGGTTATTGTTCTCTTTAATGAACCAATGCCATTTCCTACCCTTCTGGATAGCAGGTCTCAGGCTGTAGTTCCATTGACACCTACCTGGCCATAAATCCCAGTCAACATTGTATGACTTACTTCTGAGTAAGCATGCAAGGGATCAGATTATCCGACTTGGGGAAACACAGGATCCCGCCCAACACAGAAACTGAAACTCTGTCCAGACCATGGGGTAAATCCAAGAGATGACAGAGTTTCAAATTCTTCTTTTACTTTTACTTTGCAAAGCCTCATCCGATCCAGGAAAGCTGTCTCAGCCACACATCTGGTGCCCATTATATATTTGTTTACTCAACCAGAGTACCAAACGTGTGGTAGAAAGGTGGCTTTGAGCATCTTTCGGTTTGCATGCAAGCTCCAAGAATGTATCTGTTAAGCTGAACTTGGTATGGTGGGGTGTGTTCCCTTTTCTTTTAAGGCCAGATGTAGCAATTCCTGAAAATTCTCATAATCCCTCGGAGAATCATCCGCCCACCTTTGGAACGGTACAAATGCATCCATCTCGGAAAACAAAAGGGAACAGTGAGGCAAGCTGGCCAGTCAGTCTCTCTCTTACCTTCTCCAAAGTTCTGGTCGTAAATCTTGCTGGGGTTGGCAAACTCGTATTCTGCGCTCATGGGGTGGGCGTGAGGGACGGTGCGCTCGGCCATCGTACCTGCTGGGAAAGGCCTCCTTCGGGTACCTGTCCCAGCGTCTCCCTGCCGAGGCTGCAGCCTGGCGGCAAGGCTTTCAGCAGGCAAATTCCACAGGGAGGAGGAAGAGATAAAATTGGGACCAAAATAGACAGGCAGGCCCTGGAACGCCGAGCCCGTGATGACGGCCGCCCTGCTCCTCGCTGCCTTCCGCCGAGAGGAAGGCAGCGTGGGGGTGCTGCTGTCCCGGACCGTGTGGTCGCAGCTGTTGGAAATGTGTGGTCTGCCTGGCCGGCAGCGTCCTGGGACAACTGGGCGGTCGGAGCAGCAGGCTTTGCCCCTCTGGTCGCACGGGAACATGGCCATGTCCCCCTCTAAGAGGGCAGTCCTCCACCTGAGAGGCGGTCCTCTCCGAGCCCAGCTGCGAAATAAAGAACCCTCATATGACTGACCAACGGCGGCTTGTGCCTGCAGGCCCCATGGTCACCCGGCCAGACTGCCACATTACAGAGAGATGCAGTGCATTCCTGCATGTTCAGATGTGCGTCGATACCTGTACATTCGACGTTTACGCAAACCTCCCCTCGACCGTGCATTCCCTCTTTTTGGGGCGATTCAGACGTGGTCAGGGGCTGTAGGCTCTTACAGCAAGGATGCCCATAGAAGCTACCGGACTGCCCCAAATGTAGCGGGGCGCCCTCCTGCATCGAGAGGCCCACACACTGAGCCTCAACTCGATCAGATCCCAGCCCAGCAGGGACAGCTCTCCTGGGTTTAGGGAGGGGTTCTTCCCTAGCCTTGCCTGGGACTGGAATCTGGACTTCTCTAAGGAACAGCTTGGTAAATGGCCAGGCGTCCGTCCAGGCGGGCAGAGAGATGTGCCCCGTACAAAGTGGCCGAAGGCTGGGGCAGCTCCATTTCTGCTCCCGGGCTGGTGCGAAGCTGCTGGCTGAGAAGCCTTGCCTCCAGTCCCTGAAGTGTAGCTCTCCTGACTCACTAGGGCACCCTTCTTTATCCAGCCCTGGCCATGATGGGTCCACCACCCAAGTTTCTCTTCGGTGCCAACTTTACTGCATGAAACTTTCATGTGGAAAATGAGAAACAGGATTGTTGATGAACTGGAACACCCCTTGGAAATCACCGAGATGTGAGGAGGCAGGATGGGTCACCAGTGCAATTAAATAGGTAATGACAACGTTCTGGCTCCCCAATAGTACAGAGAATGTAGAGCAGCCTTCCGCAAGGTGGTGCCCTCCAGATGTTTCAGACTACACCTCTCGACAGCCCTAGCCAGCACAGCCAGTCGAGCGTTATGGGAGTTCCAGTCCAAAACATCTGCAGGAGACTGTGACTAAGTCAGCTGATGAAGAGGGTCAGCGGGGACTCAAATTATGGGGCCCGTGGTGGAAACAGGCATCCAAATTCCAACTTACCCAAATGCATTTTTGGGATTAGTTCCCTTCTATAAAATGAGCCCAACAGTAGATGTCAACTCACAGGCGTGTCACAGATATGACCTACGTTAGGAGCATAAGCTGCCTTTCACTTTGTGCTTGGCACAAATGATTCACAGGATGCCAGAATGGGGTTGTGCTTTTGCTTGCATAGCATAACTCAATAAAAACGTAATTAGTTTTATTTTTTAAAGACACTCATGAGGTGAAACCAGAGACTTCTTCAACATCCTTTGGGGCGGCAGGTGCACAGACATCTCATCTGCCCTGTTATTTACAGGAGATGAAACCGGAGAAGGAAGCCTTCCCATTCAACCTTGGAGGCTGCCTTGCCTCAGGGCTACCGGGCAGGGCCGGCTGCCTCCTCCCTCCCCAGGGTTCATGCTGACCAGTCCCCAGCCCCACCGCTCAGTCCCATCCTGCTTCAGTCCTGTCTTGCTCAGACAGAGAGTGCTCAAAGGAGAGCTGGTGCCATTGCGAAATACCTCCTGGGTGGAACGTGCAGGTCTTACCCCAACAGCCTTAGCGCAAGAGTGGTGTAGTGGTTAAGCGCATGGCTCTGGGACCCAGGCAACCTGGGCTCTAGTCCTTAATCAGTCACGGAGCTCTCAGCCTGACCTACCTCAGAGGGCAGTTATTGTGGGGATAAGACTGAGAGCAGGAGGAAGCGAAAAATGTAAGCCGCCTTGAGTTTTTCAAAGAAGAAAAAAGCAGGATAGAAATCTAGCAAGTAAATGAACGAACAAACAAAACAGCGCTTCTCAGCAGCACTGCTGTCCTGCTGCTTGGGAGAAGAGACAGTGAAACCACTCTTCTTCAGGCACCTATTTTGCTCCAGAGAGTTCACTGAGCATTGCCCAACTACTCCCAAACATTCCTTTGCAGCCATCAGAACAAGAAACATTTTCTATGTTAAAATGCTAGCTGAGATTATAGGATGTAGAATTCTGCCCTCTGTACCAAATTTTCTGCCCCTGCAGTACGCACATCTCAGTGTTCCTGTACGTACACTCCTGTGTATATCCACACAGACAAAGTCCCATTGAGTTAAACAGGGCACACTCCCAAGGTAAGTGTGTAAAACAGCCTTCCGCAACCTGGTGTCTTGTAGATGTCTGGACTTCAGCCCTCAGCATCCCTCACCATGCTAGCTGGGGCCCGTGAAAGTTGTATTCCCACACATGTTGACAGCACATCTTGCAAGGTTTATTTTAAGTTGGGAAAAGTGCAAATAAGATGATCAAGGGGTTGGATGAGATGTTACAGCAGCTAGTCTAGCCGAGAAACAAGGGGAATAAGGGGAAACATAAAGAAGAGGGCAGAATAACACATGGTGTGGGGAAAAAGTGGAGGGACACTTTTCGCCCTCTCCTAGGATACCAGAACCCAGCAAGGTCACCCCATGAAGCGGAAGGCTGGAAGATTCGGGACAGACATGAGGAAGGGCTCCTTCACGTGGGGCATGATTCAACTACGGAATTCACTTCCACGAGATGTAGGGATGGCCACCAGTTTGGATGGCTTGCAAAGACTGGACAGATTCATGGAGGAGCAGCCTATTCATGGCTAACGGACCAGATGGCGATATGCTGCCTCTCAAACCGGAGGTGGAATGCCTCTGTATGCCTGTGCTGGGGAGCATGGGTGAGAAGGGGCTGTGGCATTTCTATCCCGTGTGCAGGTTTTCTGTGGGCAGCTGCTGAGTGGCCTGACCCAGCCTCATGGCTCTTCCGATGTCCTTGTGCTCACCATTACCGCACTGGGGCTAACTGCATCTTGGGGAAACACACATGAATACTATGAGCCTCATAGGGAGAAAAATCCGCAAAGGGGATAAGTCTGGGCTCAATTCGAGGTGTTGGTGATCACTTATAAAGCCCTTAACAGCTTGGGTCCCAGATACCTGAAGGAACGCCTGTGGCCATATTTGCCCTCCCGCCCCTTGAGATCGGCAGCAGAGGCCCTCCTCCGGGAGCCTTCTTAAGAGATATCAGGAAGCAAAGCACCCGGAAGAGGGCTTTCTCTGCAGTGGCGGTGGCGCCCCATCTGTGGAATGCGCTCCCCAGAGAGGTCCGCCTGGCACCGTCGTTATTTGTTTTTCGGCGCCAGGCCAAGACCTTTTTATTCAAACAGTATTTTAATAATCTTTAATATTTATAGATTTTAATTGTGCAGCCAGTGTGTTTCCAGGTTTTAATTGTAATTGTTTTATTTATTTATTGCTGTGAGCCATCCCGAGGCTATGTAGCAAGGGGACAGCCTATAAAAACTTTAAATAAATAATAAAAATAAGTTTGGAGTGGAGAAGCTGCTGGGGAGCGCCCTTTCCCCCTTTACTTCCAGTCATTCCCCAAAGCTGCTTTTCTTTTTTAAAATAGTGCAGACGCTGTAATAAAGCTTGTTGCTTGTGCGTGCGTGCGTGCATGATTTACATGGGTAAACCAATGAGTGCCCCTTGGGGTATGGTTTAAGTCTAGAAGTGTAGATAACATATAGCATTTAAGGCTGAAGTCCTAAACTTATTTACTGACTTACCACTAATTGATAAAGACCCATTGATTTATCACCAAAATTAATGGGACTTATTTCTGACTCAACAGTTGCCCAAGGATAATGCTACCCACCCTCCCAAAGTTAATCTTGGAACTCTGAGCAAATGGGCAAATGACTTTGTCTCACAAGCTTAGGGCTGACATCATCACCAAAACATTTATGGACATGTCTTAACTCTTTCAGTTTTAAGGTGCTTCTGGAGGGTGACTATGGAGATAAAACTGGGAAAAGTTTAAAGGTGAGCATTTCAGATTAAAACTGCAATAAATCAGACCAAATTTCAAACTGGAAAAATATTTCAACTTTCCACCTTCACCAGACCAAAATGCAAGTTTATCTACATCTCTGTTGCAGGCAAACCTCTGCCTGATCTGGTGCACGTTTACTCTGAGGCAAGGGACTTGAGACCCCGCACTTTAATCAGTGTGCTTAGGACCTTGCCTTCCACCAGGCATCTGGTAGTGGAGAAGGACCGCAACACGCACTGCGCTTTCATTTAGCTGCCATGGCTCAGTTTGTTTGGTAGTTGTTGTCTGCTGCGAGTTTGTCGAGGTGCGTAGGCTGCGTAGGCTCAGGCGTGGGCATACAAGCTTGTCAACTTATCTGACAAGAGGAAACTCCAGGCTAGGGATACCACCAACACACTGCAGCGGTTACGCCCTTGGAGGGACGTGGGTGCGAAGAAAGAAGAGTGGAAACAGGTCCGGCGGCATTCATGCCCCGCTCAGCTGGAGGCGGTGTAATGACTGCATATCCTTTCACAAGCCTGAGCAATCAGGCTCAGTGCGCCCAGTTTTAAATTTAACCCAGTGGGTTCGATGAGTCACCTCTTACACTTAGCAGCTCGCATCAAAAGAGTTTGGCTCAAGAGTGGGATGCAAGGAAACAAACTTTGCAAGGGCTCCAGGCCCAAATAGGGCAGAAACACCAGCTGGACACAGTCACGGTGCCGGCCTGGCGTCTTCCAGGCCGGCTGGACTGCAGTCAACCCCAGCATCACCTTCACCATCTGCCTGGGGAGGATAGGGATTGCATCAGGCTGGGGAAAAGTAGCTGATAAGATGTACCTTCTCTTATAATAGAGCAAACAGAGGGAAGGAATTCCTTGCCTCTGATCTATTTAGCATTATGTTGCCAACAACGATCACCACTTCAGTTCTAGGCAGCTTTGGGGCACTGACTAATGCTGCATTTGCCTTCAGCACTGGATCATGGAAATTGTGGGTCACTATCCTGGCCAAAGTCAGTGGCTGTAACCACCATAGATCCATGCAGCCCTGTTTCAAAAAGTTCGTTAAACTGGTGGTTTCATCTGCCCCAAATCGACTTCACTGGGCAACTCAAACTCTTAGTCCTATGTGCTATACAGACAGACAGACAGGAGACAGACAGACAGAGAATGCTCCCCATGTAACTTTTCCTGCTGTGATGTATCCAGAGAAGGAAAGCTGATGGACAAAGGGACGCCAGTGGGCTACACCAGAAACCAGTTTCCGAGCAACAGCAAGATAGCAGTCCCTTGTTTCTCTGCTTGCAAGACAAAGATAGCAACTGTGTGATTTGCGCTGGCATCTGAAGTGGTAGAGAATGCCAGATCAGCTTGACTGGGCACTTTAAAAAAACAAAACCAGAAAGGAGCGGGCGAGCGGAGTTTCATGCTGACTTGCGCGAATTTAGCGGTGTCCTTTCTCCTCGGCGATGTGGGTGCTGAGTGGAGTGTACAAATCCGCAGTTAATCTGCCCGCCGGTGCTGAATGGTACAGTTGGGGGAGCAGGGATAATGAAATGCCTGACATCACCGTTCCAGATATTTCAGCCCGGGCACAGCCTGGCACTTGGCAGCATATAAAGCGCTGGCTCGGAGCTGGAGGCAGCCCGCTGCTGCCCACTGGTCTCCCAGAGCACCCAGCCAGATGGACATCTCCGTTCACCACCCCTTTTTCCGCAGACCCCTGTTGTCCACCCTGTTGCCCAGCTGCATCTTCAACCAGACTTTTGGAGAGCACCTCGTGGAATCTGAACTCTTCCCCAGTTCCTCGGCTCTCAGCTCTTTCTTTCTGAGACCCTTCATCCTGAGGAACCCGAGCTGGCTAGAGAACAGACTCTCAGAGGTAATGTTTCCTCTTGTTAAAGAAGCGCTCTAATTCTCTAGCAGGCTCCTGAAGCAGGTGGAGGTAGGCCTGTTACCTTCAAGGTCACTGTTCTTTATCGGTTAAACTTGTTCATTGGATCTTTACATGCATTTAAGGTGAAAAGCTGAGACGTGAGCATACAAAGGAGATGCACAAAGGAGATGAAGCAGATGATCAGAGATGCAAAAAAGCATTCTGAATACGACAGTGCTAACGACATTAAGAGCAGTGATAAAATGTTCTTTAAATATATTGAAAGCAGGAAACCTGTGAGAGAGGCACCTGGGCCATGGGATGATAGCTGAGTTGAAGGAGCATGAAAGGAAGAGAGGACTGCAGGAAAATGGGATGAACTTATTTTCAGTTGTCTTTCCTGCTCACAATATAGGAGTGGCAGCTGTGCCTGAAGGGGTGGGTTCAGGAGGGAAGTCTGAGGAACTGAGGCAAATACTGGTGGCAAAAGATGCCATGCTCAACCTTAGTGACACAGTGAACGTTAAAGCATCATGAGACCCAGAGAGAATCAGTCTGAAGGAACTCAAGAATGAAAGCGCTGACTGGAAGATCAGCTTGTATGCAGAATAGGGCAACTGACAGGATCAAGGAATTGGAGCAACTCCCCTATGAGGACAGGTTACGACATCAGAATTATTTAGTTTTGCAAAAGGGCAAGTAAGGGAAATTTGATAGAAGTGCACGAAATTACGCCTGGTGTGAAGAAAGTGGATAAGAAAGTGGATTTTTCTCACTGTTGTAATACATTGTTGTAAGCCATCGGGGAGAACTTCAGCTGAGGAATGAAGTAATAATAGAGCCCAGTGGGCTCCTCCCATGAAGCCGATCAGAGGGAGGCTCAAGGCAGATAAAGAGAGTTCTTCTCCACACAGCACACACTAAAGATCAAACTACTGACGGCTGCTAGTCCTGATGGCCACAGGCTACCTCTAGTATCAGAGGCAGCACGCCTACGTACACCAGATGCAGGGGAACATGGGCAGGAGGGTCCTGCAGCGCTCATGAGCTGCTTGTGGGTTCTCAGCAGCAGCTGGCTGGCCACTGTGTGAACAGAATGCTGGACTGAGGGCTCCCTGGTCTGAAGCAGCAAGGCTCTTCCTATGCTCCTAAAACAAAGGCATAAGCATCCGTCATAAAAAACAGCATGCTGATTAAAAACAAAGGCCTAGGAAGTCAACATTCCCCTTAAGCTGCCCCCTATAGTCTCTTTTCTCTAGTAACATGAAAGGTGTTGCCACTAGGAAGGCTCTTGAGGCTACCAAACAAAAGGCACAATTTGTGACAAAAGATGGGAGAAGCAACAGGAAAACAAAGGCGGGCTACATACTCAAGACACCGTTAGAAGGGCAACTGCACAATGAAAGCCTCCCTCAGAAGTGCCCCTCTATCTTTTAGATGAGAATAGGTGATCTGTGAGCAGTATTCACACAAGACACACGGTATGACAGGCATATCTAAATCCAAATGTCGACTCCACATGGGAGTGACCAACCCTAGAAATACAAAAATCATGGTAAGACTGTTTGCAACCATGGCCCTGGAGCATGACCCTATTGGGAAGTTCTCCTCTGCAACGGTACCCATTTCTATGTGACTTGTGTGTGAGAAAGTCTTGCTGAGAATCTTTGGGGCTGAGGAACACCATGGTTGATGAGACCCAGAGGATCCAACACTTAATACATCTTAAATACCATGAGTATCTTAACCAGCTCCTTTATCCGCAGATGCGACTAGATAAGGACAAGTTCTCCGTCAACGTGGATGTGAAACATTTCTCTCCCGAGGAGCTCAAAGTCAAGGTTTTGGGAGATGTGATTGAAGTTCACGGGAAACACGAAGAGCGCCAGGTCAGCCTGTTCTCAGTATTAATGTGTCTGGCAGGGCGATGGAGGTGCAGTGGGAAGGGCCCCCTCAGAGATGGAGATGTTAACATGTTATCTGTCACACAGAAGCACCTCAACAAGATATTTGCGGGTGGACGAAACAGAGGGTCTGCTATTTTCCTAGTGGTTTGGTTCAAACCCGGAAAGGCAAGAGTTGGCTCATCTAGCTCCATGCTACCTGCTCTGAATGGCAGCAGCTCCGCAAGGTCTCTCCTGGCCCTGCTAATGGAGCTTCTTCAACTGAGGGGCTGGGGCTTGAACTTGGAACCTTTCAAAGCAGAGATGCTCCGGCACTGAATGAGGTGTTCTCCCCTTGTACACAATTCACAACCAGGCATATTAGGTGATGTAGTGTTTTACTTTTTCTCTCCCCTTGGAAAGGATGAACATGGTTTCATTGCAAGGGAATTCAGCAGGAAGTACAGGATCCCGGCTGACGTCGATCCCCTCTCCATCACCTCCTCCCTCTCTTCAGATGGTGTCCTGACAGTGAACGGACCACGGAAGCCAACGGAACTTCCTGAGCGCACCATCCCCATCGCGAGGGAGGAGAAATCTACCCTACCAGCAGGGCAAAGGAAGTAGACGGCTCACTGAGACCCATCCTTTCATCTCCGAGGAGGCCCTTCCACTGGACGTAGGCAGCAGAGGGTGCCACTGACTGGCGGTTCTTATTTATTTGTGCTAAGGTCAGCAAATGTGCCTGTTTACTAATGAATAAACCAGTGAGTCAGCATCCGGTGACTTCTTCCCTCCATCTTGGTGACTGGTTTCATGCGAGATGGGGGTGGGTAATTAAAAAAGTGAAACCGGATCAGAGCACAGATGGTGGTTCTGCCGCTGGGGCTGAGCAACCACAACTCCTCCCTTTAAAAAAAAAAAGCACATTACTGGCTCTTCTGCCCTTGGCTACCGAACTGAATAATCAGAGTGCCGAGCATTGCAAGGGCAGAAAAGACAGCCACCAGACCTGTAACACAGGGAGACATGGAAACACAGGGACTCTGCCCTTCACTCTGGGACACATTCTTTTATTTAGGACGCCATCTGAGATTCACTGAATGGCTGCCGAGCTTTCCAGTAGGTGGACTGGGAAGGGGAGGGCGCGATGGAGCCTTCGAAGCAGGCCTCTCAGGTGGTCCTGCGGCTGAGGAAAGCACCCTGGTCATCTTACTGCTTCAGCTGCACCCCTTCTGCTTCCTTGGTTTTCTTATCCACAGGGAAATGGGCTCCCCTGCCGTACGGAGGCTCATAATCGATCATGTAGCACGACCGAGCAGTTGGCTTGATTGCAGGAGGCTGTAGCTCAGGCTGGTGTCCAGGGAACCAGTGAGGTTCCCGTGCAACTCCTGACAGCAGAGAGAGGACAACGCTGAGGAAACCGGGGATCTGCCAGCCAGGCAGGGGGAACACACCCAGAGTTAACCTGGAAAGCACCTGAGGGGGAGCGTTAGGAAGGTGAAATAAGCTGCCCTTTTTGATCACAACTGCATTGTGGGGGCTTCTTCACCTTGCTGGCAGACCTGTCTACTGGTAGTTGTTCACCTTCCTCATTTGCATGCCTACAACATCGCACATGGTATGTTGCAAGCTTTCGCTTTTTGCTTTAAAATTACGACCTCTCTCACTCTCAAACAACAGCACCCATCACTCTGCAAGCAGGATGACCAGGACAATGGTCCAACTTGGAGGGAGAGGACTAGTTCACTCACACATCCAGATGCATTTCACTGGATTTATTCTGGTTCCTGCAGGCCCGTTTACTTAGGTGGACCTTGACCCCATAAGTAAATGAAAGTGATATTTAGTTGCTTCTCATAGCTCTAACCTGACCTTCAGTTCCTCAAGGCAACCCGGATAATATATGGTCATTGTCCATATTCTTCCTATTTGGACTAGTCTGTCAGCAATGCTTGGGTTCAGGAGAATCCAGACCCAGGGGAGGGACTGGATGCATTCAAGGTCCCCTTGCCACCCTTAAATTCTATGTCCGTTTCTCAGTTTCTTGCACCTACTTCTGGTACTGTGAGGTTTTTCCTTGGAGTAGTCTGACGAGTAGGTGGACTCGAAGTAGTGAGCATACTGAAAGGGAAAGCCCAGACTGAGTGCATGTTTAGTTAAGATTAAATTTGGTAGAAACATAATGGAAAAACTCTTAGTGCTGGAATGTCTCCATTTGCAGATGCTTTTGCACATTTGCTCAGAGCTGAGCAGAACGTGTGACCAGCTTCATGGGAAAGTATTAGATGGCCCATACAGCACTCTTCGGCACATTTACGCAGAGCTAAGTCCTGCTGCGTGCAATGGGGCATGCTCCCCTGGAAGTGTGCGCAGATTAGCAGCCAACGAAAATATTAGGAACTGCAAAAAAGCAGGCAAGCAAGGAGGGACAAGAGAATCAGAAGAATGCTGACATTATGTTCTGTGTGTCAGCAGCATGTATGGCGATACCTTAATGCAGTTACTGGGCCAGCCCAGATCCAGACATGCTTCACTTTAAAAATAAATTGCATTCAAGATCAATTTTCCTCACCCATGGACCTGTACTCCAAGAGGAGCCAAGCACGGTGCATTTTTCTGCCTTGCCCAACCCCCACCTTTCCAGCTTTGTGGGCTGACAATGGCAGGAGATGGCTGAGGTTGACCGCAAATGCTCGAGCCCAGATTACCTAGACAACTCTGTAGCTGAGCAGGGAGGCAGACCCAACCACAAGTCCAGGAATTCGACCTCCACCCTGGATTTGAATCAGTGGGGTTAACAGAGGAAAAGCTGTGCTGAAGCAGACCAAAGCTCTATCAAGCCCAGAGTTTTGTTGACACAGTGGTCAAACCCAGCTGCCTGCCAAAAGCCCACTGGTTAGAACATGGATGCTTTCAGACGAAGCGACTGGAGTGCCATAAATTAAAAAGCACCGGGCAATTCTTCCATCATTTTCTTCTTAATGCACTTTCTGCAATAAGAAAAAACGATGAAGTGGTACAAAAATGTGGGAGTGTTGCAGGGTGGTGGTGGTGGTGGTGGCTGGACACCTCCCACAATTCCATGACAAAAGCCTTATCTGGTAGCATCTGCATGTCACATAAAGTGCTGGAGGATCAAGTATTTTAAGTTTACCCTGAAAACAGGCTGGCAGGAGAAGACGCTCTAACCTGGGAAGGGAGAGGCTGGGGCTGCAGCACTCTGCGAATGTCATAGCGCTCCTCATTCCAGTTCCCCAGCAGGGTTTTGTTGGCGTAAGAGTCCTCATTGGTGGTGCACCTCCAGCCATACTGGAAAAACTTGGATGTACTGTTCCAATCTGTCCACACTTCCCCATGGCCATTAGCATGCAATAAACAACCATGAAGAGGGTTAAAGAAGCAGGAAAGGGACATGGCCTAGGAGGAGACAGAGAAGCCAAAAGAAAACAGGCCATAATTATCAGGATGGCTACATGGCAAGCATATCTGTTTTATACCATGTTCTTTGGTGGCCAAAGAATAACTTTTTTTTACATTTTACAGTTTGGATTTCCTTTGCATTCCTTACAAATTTCTATGTCAGCCCTATTCTTTTCCAGTTCATTATCAGTCTGACTTCTGACAACTGGGGGAATCATTACTTATTGGAAGACTGGATTTTAACTAAAGAACATTAGGGATATTTTAAGGGATGGAGGGTGGACTGGGCTGAAATCTTGCAGCAGCAGGGGAATACCTCTGAGTCAGAAGTAACAGTTGTAGTATATGAACTACTGGTCTCATCCAAATCCCACATTTCCTTCCTACTTGGTCCTGTTCTTAGTTCGATTTTGTCTCAGGATCTCAGACCAATGGACAGCCTCAACGCACTGGATGTGAAAGCTGGAGGCTTTTAGCAGCTCTGACAAAGGGAGGTGCTGGGAGCAATTGAAGGAGGGCACTAGAAATGTGATTACTTTTGTTTGTGATGCAATTCCTGGTCATCAACTAGGACCAATGTCATTGGCCTCAGAGCATCCACGGGGTGAAGTCCTTTTGCCCCACACTGTAACATCTGCACTTTTCCAATCTCTCCAAGCAATGGCTATGGCTGCAATCTCCCATAGACTCATTTGTGAGTATGCCCCATTGCACTCAGTGAAATTTACTTTGGGGTACAACAGAAAGGCAGAAATACTACCAACATTTGAAGCAGCCACATCAAGTGTGCAACAGGGAACCATGACATCTGAAATGCCCAAGAATCCCTTGATATACACACCGAGTCCCCCAAAATCACCTTGTTTAAGGCCACAGCCTTGTATCGAACATAAAACTGAATTGGCAGCATCTTTTTCTATTATAGTTAATACAATAATAACAACAACAACAATAGCATATGTACTTTCTCAGGCTTATCATTAGTACAGAAGGGAGTTGGGACATAATCCTGCTAATGCAGGAAGGATTCCTTCCACTGTTCCCCAGTCTGGTTGAGATTCCTGGCAGAAAGGTAATATGCAAGCACAAGCAAATAAATGAAAACTGTCCAGCTTTTCTGTTTCCAACAGCAACCAACCAGTACAACATGAAGCAATGAGTCAAGCATGGGATCTAACTTCCAGCACCTGCTTCTCTGGGTTTTTTTATGCATGGGGGGTGACCTCACCACCACCACCTGTCTTCCTGAACATCAGCCAGCAATGGGAAGTGCCTGCTAAAAAGATTAATGCAACCATAGAGTTCATTACCAGAAATGTGTCCTGAAGCAATAATTTCACCATATTCTGCCCTAGCTATGCCGCATGGGGAGCACCATGTCCAATTCTGGGTGTTACACTTTAAAAAGGGCATTAACAAAGTAGAGCTCGTCAAGTAATGACCAAAGGAGAGTGAGGCATTTGGAAACCAAGTCCTACAAGGAGAAGCTGAAAGAGCTTGTAAGGTTCAGCCTGGATAACGTAGGATGAATGGGAGACAAGCTGCTGACTTCAAACAATACAAGTGCTAGATGTGTTCAGATGTGTTCCCTATTGCTTCAGAAAGCAGGATGAGAAATTAAAGAGAAACTGACTTAGGCTGGACACTATGAGAAACTTCCTAATGATAAAAACTGTTTGGGATACTATTCTCTCTAAGTTTAGACAGAAACGCTGAGATTTGTAGGCCTTCCTTTCCATCTATACTTCATAGGATTGCAGCATTGAAGGCTGAGTCATGCGCCGCAGACCAAGCATCCATCCAGTCCAACATTCCCTCCTAACTGTCCATGGGAAAGATGTAAGCAGGATGTGTGGAGCAGCACTCTCCCACCCATGCTCCCCACCAACTGGCGTGCACAGGGATCCTGACCTACAGGATCCCTGCAATGCTGTGGTCTTCTTGCCAGGCTTGGCGTTGCTTGGGTGGGTGGGGTGGAGGACTGCCTTCACGGATGTTAAGGTTCATGATCATGAAACACTGCGCCTGTGAGGCCTCTCTTTCATGCCCAGCCTGCCCAAAGGAGACTGTTTCCCCTACTGCCCTCCGCACAGCCACAGCAGTCTCATGCCACCGTCCAACGTGATAGAAGCTGGTAGACTGTCACTGAACATGGAGGCTCCACTCCCGCGGTTTTGGTCTCCGCCGATGTCGCCCCCCCCCTTCAATCCTCCTCCTCTTCGTCCTCATCAGCGGCGTCCCCCCACTCGCACCCCGAACTTTACCGCCCTCTCCGCTCGGCCTTCACCTACCGAAGACCCCCGCGCTTCCCGCCGCCTCCAAGACGCTCGCGCGCGCCCGCGAAATCGGCGTCAGCAGACAGGAAGGCGCCGTTTCCACGACAACCGCCCGGCGACGCGCACCGGAAGGCGCAGCCGTCGCTGCCGGAAGTGACGCGGGCCGCCCGCGCGGTTGCCGGCTGCCGAGGGCGCTTTGGCAGGAGAGAGGTTAGATTCCCCGGGCAGGAGTGTTGGCTCACGAGTCCCATCATCCTCAGCCAGAATGCCGCTAGCCGATCCATCCGGAGGCCACCGGCTTGAGGGAAGGCCGATCCAGCGCGTCATCCCGTTCCTCTGATTGGCTGGGGGTGATGGGAGTTGTAGTCCGGCGCCTTTGGCGGGCGCCAGGTTGAAGGCGGCTGAAACAGAGTCCTTCCCTCCACTAAGTGCTGCATATTCGTGTTCCCGGGGTGGGGGATCGCGTTGTAGGGGCACCTGTAAGGTGGAAAAGAAACAGGGACAGCGGGAAAAAGGGAGGGAGACCCCGCAGAAGAGCTGCCTTCAGCCCACCCACCGGTTGACGTTTGGTTATTCCCTAACCCCATCTACAAGAAGCCTCCCCTTTCCCCACTGGCTGGGTAAAAGGGGTTTCCATCCGCCTACTTCACACAGTTGCTGTCTCATCCCATTACACCCATCTACATGCACTGCGTGTGCATTACAATTAGCTTATTGTCTATTCAAGGTGTGCGAGTTAATATTCATCAACCTATCTTCTCTCTTCACCGTGCCCTACGACCCCCTAATCTCATAAGACTACTGGGAGGATAAGATAGGAATAGCACACTTTTTCTTCAAGCCAATTATCTCCCCCACCCCCAGCATTCCTTCAGATAACCACTCCATGACTTGACTAATGGCTCCTTTGTTTCTCAGTCACTGTGTTACTTTTTTCAAGTTAAGTTACCCCTTTGTGAGTACAGAAATTGAAACTTATTCTTAATTTATCCCAGCTTCCTTCTTCACTGAGTGAGTAACAATTCTGCATTGTTTTACTCAGAAACCATAAACTACTACTGTGCTTATTAGGGGAGGTGTGACTTCATCCCTTCTTAAAGTTACTTCAAGTAAAATCCTGTGCAAGACAGAAAAAAGACCTACAATGCTTTTACTGGGACATGCTTGAAGTTGATTGCATGCTTAGTTTGAGAGTTCCTTGAATTTCTTGTCTGCCTAAATATTTTGTATGCTGCTTTCCTGCAAGCCTTATAGATCTCTGTGATGCTGTGAAACAGTACCACCTTTGCTGACCCTGTGTATTTTGAAGTGACAGCATCTTTGGAACCATCCTGACTTCTTGCTTTCATTCCATTGAAGATTTTGCTACCATGAAACCTCTGCACCATCTACCACGTTTCCTGCTGGTTGGAGAAGGAAATTTTTCTTTCTCTGCCAGTTTGTGTGAAGTGAGAGGCTCTGAGGCTTGCATTGTTGCGACCTGCTATGAGAGTGAAGACACTGTTTCTACACAAGCTTTTGCCAAGTCCAACATCCAATACCTGAGAGACAGAGGTAAAAAGAAACACTCCTCTTTGCTGTGGAACCTCTGTTTCTGCTTTTGGAGAACCATTTTTTCTAGGTCAAATTGGATTGTGATTCTGGGGAGGAGTTGTCAGGTCTCAACCTGGTATGACTAAGCAGTTGCAAGGGCTTCAGCCCTGCTTTTGCTGGTTGTCCTTTTATTTACTTGCTTTAGCAAGCTGGACTTCCCCTTTGGCCAACAGCAACTGAGAGGCAAGGGGATAGATGAAGAGACATAAGAAAGGAATGATGTGCAGGAGAAAGCAAATGGATTGTCATCTCCTACCTCAACCCTTTCAGCGCTATTAAAGGAATCTCTAGCTGGCAGTCTGGCAACCTCCCATGGGCCTTTTCTTGCAGTTCCTTGATGTAAGTGGATTGGGCAGCTTCCTTAGGTCACCCAGAGCTTTCTAGTCCATCTGCTGTATACTTGTGGGAGCTAATCTGGATTCTGCAGGTGTCCGGCGTACATAAGATCTTGCCCTGAGGGATGGGGGAATAGTAAATCTTGTTGTGTCAATCAAGCTTTGGAAATGCTTTTTCTGCTGGGTGAATGATATTTTAATTTATTGTTGGGATTTTGCATTTTAAGGTTTTAATATAATGTTCTATTTATTTTATTGTTTTCTGCTTGCATTTTGTTTTCCATTGTTTTGATCCAAATCCTGCTATTCTAAGTCATTCACCTGTTTTTTTTAACATTATAGGAGCTGAAGTTCACTTTTGCATTGATTGTACAAAACTGAAAGACTACTTCTTGCCATCTGAGAGGAACTTTGCTCGCATTTATTTCAACTTCCCCCACTGCGGCCGAAAAGCAGGAGTGAAGAAGAACAGAGAGCTTCTTGCCAGGTTTTTCTGTAGGTGAGGCCAGAGCAAAGGAAGAGAGAGTTCTTTTTTCCTTTTTAATTTTAGTGCTATAATGACTTAAAACAAACTTGGTCCTCAAAATTCTCTAAAGAGAGAGGATGTATATATTTATCTGTACCATAACTCCTAAGCCATGAAACCTGGCATGCCTACTAAGGGGTATGCATACTAATTATTGTATTTTTAAAAGTTTCAATTAACTGTAATTTAAATGGGGCTGTGTGTGTGTTTGAAGCTTGCAGTAACATCTTCGGTCACTCCCCTAGCTACTGCATAGCTTCCTGCCAGTGAGGTGGGCATGATGGGCCCAACTCTGACAGGCAGGTCACTCTGCTTGAAGACTTCCACTCTATCAAACAAAGCAATATTCCAGCTCTTATAAGGCTGGGTCCTGAGTAAGAAGAATTTACAAACTCGAGCCACAAAAGTCCTAAATATTATTATCATTATTACATTTTTATACTGCCCATAGCCAAAGCTCTCTAGGCAGTTGACAGCAATAATCATAGAATCATACACTCAAGTCACCCATCCAACTTCTGCCCAGGCCTGACCCTGCTTAGCTTCCAAGATTAGGCAGGATCAGGCATTTCAGGCTACATAGAAGCTTGTTTTGTATGGGCAAGCAAGTTCAGTTTGTATATTTTGAACCCAAAACATAAATCTTTGCAGTTAGGAGGTGATTTTTTTGCCAGGGCTCTGTCATAGCAAACGGTGTTGTAGTGAGGGAACAGAACGAGCAGAGAATAAAAGCATCTGCCACGTGGACCTGCTAAACCCTTTCTAGCCTACCTCCCCAATTACGGGGGTCATAAAGATCCAGGCTTAGAGCAACATTGCTGAGGTTTGATGAGAAAATCTAAGTAATGCATAATCTGTCAGGAGCCAGGCTGGATGGGACCAAATCCTGTTTCTATTCCCACAGTAGGCCAACAGATGCCTTTGGGAAATGCATGGGAAATGCATAGGAAAGCATTGTGCAACAGCATCCTATACACCGCTTGGAAGTTTCGGTCCCTTCTGTGCAACATTTCAATGACTTGGCCAAAAGTTCCTTTCAGAAGAGGATAACCAGTCAGCCATAGAACCTCCTCTGTCCTCCAAGTTTCACATTCCTTTGCCATCCCAATCATTAAAACCAGTACAGTCCAGGAACTTCTTGGAAGCTGCCCACTCACTGCATCCATCCCTACCCATCCTCCATGCATTCTTGTTCTAGCTGTGCAGACGTCCTGGCAGAGGAGGGAGAGGTCCACGTGACCCTGTGCAGAGGGCAGGGCGGCACCCCTGCAGACCAGCCCGTGAGAGAGTGGCACAACAGCTGGCAAATAGTCGCCATGGCAGCACAGGCAGGTTTCATCCTGAGTGAAGTACATCCATTTAACATCAGAAATGCTTGTGGATATTCATGCACAGGGTACAGGTAAGATGCAGGTACCGTATCCCAAGTGACATCGTACACAACCCTCTTTCACTTCCTGCCTCCTTCCTTTTGCCTCCAGCAGCAGCGTTCTCAGAGCTTTGTTGAACAGAGGAGTGGATTGGCCCTCTACCTCATGAAAGTCCCATGAAAATGTAGGAATGTCAGCAAGGAATGGAAGGTTCTCCATCACTACCAATTCCTTACTTTAGGATCCCATCTTGTGCTTTCAGACAGCCTAGCATTTAACACCCAGGATTTTCAGTTCCATTGGCTTACTATCAGCCCATGTTTTGATTTTATGCTTATCCTAGTCAAAAATGTCAGTTGGTGTCAGAACACTCTTGCCTTGTTTATCTGTAGGAGTCAGGATAAACCTTTCTGCGTCGAAGGAGCTCTGAGCCACATATTCACACGGGGGTTGCCTTTTCTCCAGCCCAGACCTGTTATCTGTCAAGCAGAACTGGAAGGCCATTTGATTTCCTTCCTAGTACCAGAAATATTTGCTGACAAAATTAACAGGTATGTAACTGAGTTTCCCAATCGTATGAATTTATGCACGCACAGCAACTGATGAGTGTGTTTTAAGTAGAAATTCCAAGCTGTCTTAGCAGGGGAGGTTGGCACTCCAATCCTCACTGTGCTTACTGATTCCATCGACTTTAGTTGCATTTACATCCAAGTATGTATGTTCGGAACTGAAGTCTATCATCTTAAATGTCATCCTGTGTAAACCTCACTATGGCTTCTGCTAGATACAAATCCTGGTTTATAGGAGCACTTTGTGACCTGGGACATGTCATTATTCATGATAATCTTCTGCCATCACTGATGAAAAGGTGTTCCACCAGACAGGAAACAAATGACCCAGGCTAGTCCGCATGTGGAAAATAGATGAACAGCCACAGAGTGTTTCCATTTGTGAAATGGGGATGTTGATGGTGCTGGGTGGGCAAAGGCTCATGGAGCACGCTGCAGATTTGGGGCTACATGAATAATACGCTGTTTTCTCATGCACATTGATTTTAGCAACTTAGAATGCTGCTTCTGTGTTTTACTATTTCAAATAGGCATTTCCTGGATATCAGTTCGGAGCATCCTGTAAGGACAGTCAGTGAAAACCTCACCGATGAGCTTGGCAAATCTTTCCCAGTTCAGAAGGTGAACTCTTCCATTTCCTTGGTGTTTCAAGGCAGCTCCAAGTCCCGCTCCCTCCTGGATACCTCTTGGATGGTTCCTGTTGCCAGAAGCAGCCTAAATTCCAAGCCTGTGGCTAACAAAATTGGAAGGAACGCGGAGACCTTTGTCCTTCCTTCTAGTTCTCCTGGCTGGAGTGGCAGCAGTCTGTCTCCTGACTTGGAAAGCAACTGGGTGTTGGGACAGTATTATCTCAGGCCTTCCTTGTTGCCGTTTCTTCATGAAGTTGTACAACAACCACAGTTTCAGCCGGGGACTTTCCTCGTCCTCCGTGGGCTGGCCTTTAGGAAAAGCAAGATCTCCACTCATGCACCACCCATTTTTCATGAGATGGTCTTTCTCTGCATGGCTGAGACGGGCACAGAAGCTGTAGGACTTGCACACTCCCTGGCAGGAAACCTCTCAAGGACGTTAAACTCGATGCTTCAGCCTTCAGGTGTCCAATTGTGCTGTACGACAAACAAACCAGAAACAGCACAGCTGTGTATCTTTGAACCCCAGCCGCACGAATTCAGATATTTTGTGACTGTGGCCCTGGACCCATCTAATGCTGACCCAAAGGAAGTGTTTGTAGGGACAGTCAGCATAGCTCCGTGGCAGCCAAAAAGCATCGGCCAAGAAATCGTTTGTGCCTCTTTGAACCTGGATCTCCTGGCTATGCAGGTGTGTGGAATCGTCGACTGGCGTATGCTCTGGACCCCCAGTAGGCGCTTCCTGGACCAGTTTGCTGGAGGGCGTTTGGGCCCTTTCAGGAACTTCTCGCTGTACCCACCCTCCTACAGCCACGACATCAGCTTCTGGGTTCCAGAACTGGAAAGATTTGACGAAGCAGAGTTTCACGCTCTTGCCAGGCGCGTATCTGGTGAAACAGTTGTGTCTGTCCAACTGCTGGATAGTTTTCTGAACCCCAAAACAGCACAGACGAGCCTCTGTTATAGGGTCACTTACCAGTCTAGCGACAAAGCACTCACAGGCCAGCAGGTGGCAGCTCTGCAGATGAAGCTGAGGGAGGAGGCAGAGCATAGTTTGCGCGTGATTCTGCGGTGACCCTTCGTCCTCATGCGCACAGATTTTGCTAGGGCCTGTCATTCCGGCTGCTCTGAGAAGGGGGGGTGCGCTTGCCTCCTTGAGAGTGTCTTTCATCAGGCCAGCCAAACACCTTTTACAAAGGCCGGGTGGGCTTGAAGCAGTCTTCCTTTTTCACCAGTGAATAGGATAAGGCTGTTTTGTGTGTTGTTTCTACCCTGGTTTTATTTATGTATTTATTTATATTTTTACATTCATATGCCACTCCCTGCTCCTAATGGAGTCTAATGGTTTTGGTTAGTCGGATATTTAATCTCATAAATGGAAACGATGGAGGAGAAACTCCCAAGCTTTGCATGTTTAACTATGCAATGTGCATAGTTGAAAAAGAATCTCTCTGAAGTGGAATCCTAGCATTGTCTTTAAAGTTCGCAGTGAAGCTATTTACTGCCAGTGGTATTTTATTCTGCCTTCTGTCAGAGGAGGGACAGTTCACCACTGCTGAAGGGCAGCGGACTAGGAAAGGCTGCTCTCTCTGGTATACTTTACAGGATCGGTGCTTCTGCTTGCAGCAATGCCCACACCTGTAGGCAGCACAATGCAAAGAGAATGGCTGATGAAATCCAGAGATATTTATAACTACCAGCCTTGCAAAGACTCCAATCAGCAAAAGCCATCTGTTATTTTTAGAGAGGATTACTGCAGTTGTTACTTTGGCTAAATTAAGAGACTGTCACAATTCCTTTGTGTCTGTCAGCCTTGAGGTCTGGCTGTAACCGGCAGGAGAATACCGCTATCTTTTGGATCTGACATCAGCCATTTTCTTGACTAATCACTTCGGATGCTCAGAAGCTGGGTGAACACAGGGCCTATTTGAACCCCGTGCAGTAGCTAAGCCACAACACCTCATGCCTCATTCTCACACAATTAATACTCTTTGATATATTTGCTGTGGAACTCAAGACTGCCTGCACAGGCACTGCAGCTGTGATCTTACGGTTAAATACGGTGGTGTGTACTTCTAAATAAGTGTGCCTGCAATAAGATTGCACTGCTTGGTGGCAATTCTGTAGACACTTACTGAGAAGTAATCTTGTTTAGATACAGCAGGACTTATTTCTGAGTAAATAAAGATAGGCTCAGGGATGTTCTTGGCTCATTACTTTTCACAGCAATTGAATGTATACAGACAGACATGAAGCAAACAGACAGATGCACCAATTTTTGTCTTGGTTTGCATACAGCAGGTGGAGGGTGGACAGTTTTAGTCTGTAACAGATTACATAATGATGGACAGGCTTGCAGAATCCCTTTAAGCGCTCACTCATGCAAAACACCGTAACTACCTGTATGTATTATCGGCAACTTGTGCCCGATTCCATAAATGGCACTAAGCATTGTATTCACACTTGTCCGTTTTTACTATTTTATTGTGGTACGCGTCTGTATTTATACTTTCTCGACTGGCTAGCCCAGAGCTGCTGTGGCACCATAGGTGGCATACAAGTGCTTTAAATAAATAAATCACTGCCTAAAGAGCCTTTGGGCTATTTGGTGGCATAAAAGGGGAACGAGATGTGTACAGATCATAAATTATGATCCTGAGCAGTGGACTCAGCTGGAAGGGCTGCTTTCGACATGCAGTCTCTGGCTTCGTTTGCCGATCTGTCTTGAGGAGAGAGGGTGGTGCTGTTTGCACTAAGGGAGCACGTGCACTGCAGCTTCACAGCCCTTCCCAATGCACATTGGCTCAGAAGCAAGTCCCAATTCTGTATCCGGCCAGCTTTCTCCCAAGTAAATGCAAACACTTGTAATTTTCCAGCTAGTAACTTGAAAGGGGTTGCCACTGGGTAAAGAAAGCTTACTTTTAAGGAACCAAGTTGAAGGCGGCTGTGGACTACCCGCTCTCCGGGATGCCTTCAATGCTAACAATGGCTTCCGGTCACATTTTCGGTAATGTCCTTGCATGCAGTAAACTAGTATGTCAGGGCGAGGGCGATGTTCACAGATTAGCCTACTAAATGCAAAGTGTACCTTTCAAAATCTAAAGCTAGCATAGCAAAATGGCACATTCCATCCTCCCCCGCCCCCCGCCGCCGTAATCTGAGGTGGTAGAGGCCGGCATGTCTCTACCCGCTCTGTGCCACGGAATAGGCAGACGGGCCAGCTGCTTCCCGTGGGAGGTGAGGGAAGGGTTTGCGCTTGCGCGGGTCCTTTGCCCGTACTCATCATGGCGGCCGCCGTCTTCAGGACCGGCGCGGTCCGCCGCTGACCGCCGGCGAGCCACGACTCCTGCCCACACCCGGCATGGCGGCCAAGGGGCCCCGGCAGCGGCCTCGAGGGGCGCCCGGGGATGCGGCCTCCCGGCAGCGCGACGAGGTGCCCCCGCCGGCCGCTGAGGAGGCCAAAGCCGAGTAGGTGGCCGATCCTGGCACGGGGGGGCGGGCCGGGGGCCGGGGTGTCTGTGCCGCAGGCAACGGGACCGGGGGAGGGATGCAAAGCCCCCTGGAGGAAGGGGGTGCTCGGAGGGGGGACGGGGTGGGTGCAAGAGAGGAGGCTGGCATTTTGGCCAGGGGGAGCCCTCCAGGGCTGGGTTGAAAGGGTCTTGACGCCTTGCTGACTTTAAGGGCCCCCCCTCGCCTCCCGCATCGCTGTGCCACGCTGAGCATCTGTCACGCTCATTCTAGTTATTTTTGCGGAAAAGGTAATTTCAGGAGCTCAGCCTTCCCCACGCAGATGCCCTCCAGCTGGGGGAGCCACAGTTCCCAGCAACAGAGTTCAAGGATGCTGGACCTTGGAGTCCAACACATCTATATGGCACCTGATTGGGGGAGTCTGGTCCATCCCATTGCATCCCAGTTGGCTACCCACCTCTGACCCAGTGGGTGCCATAAAGCACCAAGGCAGCCCCATTTCCCCATTCTCTTCAGTCCCACATCTTCCACCCCAAATCTCAGCCTTACACAATTCACATACAAGCCCTATATCAATGCAGTTTCCTGGGGCATCAAAGCAAAACCCCCTGGATGTTCTCCCTAAATTCACGTGGGGTCCAGTCACGGGGGATCCTGTGACACGCCTGCTCTCTTCGTCTCTTGTGTGCTACAAGCTTCTGTTTGCAACTGTGCCTTGCGTTCTGGTGCTTCTGGAACAAGGTGTGGTGTTGCTTTAAGCCCCCAAACTAGTCTCCCCAGTACCGATTTTTCCTGTGCTCTCATTGTGCACAGTGGTTAGTGGGAAAGCATTGTAAAAGGCACCTTTGGTAACCTGTCCTGTAGAGTGGAGCTTTCATCCTGTTTTAGTTATAGAGCAGACAAGGTTTGGTCTAGACAGTATTTTGATGGATTTAAAATTGGCTCCCAACAGCAGATCTGGGTGAAATTTCAACAGCGGTAGCTTTGGATTATCCCCGATTATGCAGCAGGGAAAATTCTTAAAAGCATGGATTTAGTTGTTTAGTTACTTGGCAGTGTTTCTGGATCTTTAGGAGTGCTCTGTTTTAAATCCAGCAGCCTTGGTCACCATACCGCTTCTGTCTAACCCCCACACATGTAATGTATGTAATCCACTAACAGGGCTAATGCCCACATCTTTTGGCTCTTGCCTAGGTCATCTGGGAGCAAAGCAGGGCATGTCTGGGCCCCTGAAGGATCTACAGCATTTAAGTGTCTAATATCGGCCAGGTTTTGTGCTGCCCTGCTGAGTAACATCTCTGACTGCGACGAGACCTTTAACTACTGGGAACCTGTGAGTGACTTCCTTGCTTTTAATGAAGTGCCTCGCTCTGTTGTGAGTCAGTCAATGTTAATTTAATTTTTAGGATGCTGTTGGATTTAACATTGTAAGAAACCAATTGTACCCTCTGCCCTCGCATGAAGCAAGTTCGCCATCCCCTGCTACTAGTTGCAAGCCCAGTAGTTCCTAGTTCCTCTTGACGAGGATTTCCTGCCTGCGAGGCGAGTCTCCATGCAGCGTATGCTGCTACAGCAAGACTCGGGGCACCTTCTGAGTTGGCATTCCTAACCTGTGTTGCAGATGCACTACCTCATTTATGGCAAAGGCTTCCAGACATGGGAATATTCTCCTGTCTACGCGATCCGCTCTTATGCTTATCTGTGGCTCCACGCCTTGCCAGCCATGTTCCATGCCAGAGCTCTGCAAACAAACAAGGTAAGATGCATATCCCGATCTCCTCTTGGTGCAGGGCAGGACCTCTTTTCCAGAGTAATCCAGCCAGAGGAACATTAACAACTACTTACAGGTTGTTTTTTTCTCTCCTCCTCTTCCTCCTCCTCGCCTATTATGAGAGCACCTGAGGTGTGAGCCTTCTGTTTTTTAGAGAGAGGCTTCCAAGCCACGCCCATTTCCTGTTTCATTTCCCACCTTCCTGCTCATGAGGAGGCCTTTGCTCCCAAGGAGGCTACAGTTAATCCTCTGGATGGGGGCAACACCTGTGTCATGTGCCTCCCTTTGAGGTTGCTAGGAGGCTGTAACGGTGCACTGTCCCATGTCTAGGCTCTGCCCCCTTTATGGCCCATGCCATTTTGCCCCCAGCTCGTTCAGAATACCCCACCCTATTTGATTTTGTTCTTATGTCACTGGTGCACTGGTTCTCTCCTGCAGTGCTTTTTTGGAAAAAGAAGAAATTGTATGTTTGTGGGGGCAAACCTATGTGGGTTTGGACTAAACGAAAGGCCAGGGCCTATTGGCCCTATAGCCTTTTTTGCTGTCTAAACCTGCATAGGATTGCACCTGAAATAGTCTCAACAGCTGTTCTGACACTCAGGCAATATTAATGTGCTTTAAGCCATGAAATCTACAATTTGCATTATTGCATGATGTGAAAGCCATGATAATCTTTCCATTTTCTGCTCAAACGTGTGTGTGCATGCGCACAAAGCCAGTGACCTATGAAAGGAAGTGACATCTCTCTTTAAACACAAACAGTCATTCTAATAGGAGACTGTGGGCTGGACGTTATCCTGCAGACCCCACAGTGAATGGCCAGGCTGCATGTATATGTAAACAACCAACCTTCAGATTTATGGCAGCAGTGCCCTTAGATGACATCCCAGTTTGCACATTTAATAGGGCAATGCTTCCACGAAGGGTCTGTCCAAAACCCTTTAGCACTGCCAACAACCTTTGGGTCTTTTCATTCATCAAGGATCACATGAATTTTAAAGTCAGCGCAGTCTCTCCGGTCCAGCCTCTGGCTTTATGTTATCTCACCAGAAGCTGGGGAAACCTGGCTTGAGTACTTTTTGCTTCTGCAAGACCTAAACCTATCACTATTCCTCCTAGGTTCTTATCTTCTATTTCCTGCGCTGTCTGATGGCCTTCCTGAGTTGTGTGTGTGAGCTTTATTTTTATAAGTGAGTACAAAAAAGCTTCTTTTGTTACTGTTGTGAATAATACGCTGTGCGTAGTACGCATGGTTGCAAAGGTATTTCTTGGTTTGCATATTACTATGCCCTGGTAAACCACTAGAGCAATTCAAAGCTACACTTTGGTATGTTGGAAGACCTGATTCAGCGGAGAGATCTGAAAAGCTGCAGCAGTTCCTTGGGTTGCCTTACCTAGCATACGGAACAATTAAACTGTCAGTGCATTAGCTCCATCTATTAGCTGCCGCTCAGAATAGTCTTACTTGCTTCTCCCGGCAGCCCTCAGTCTCAGCCAGGATACTGAGAGACCCTGGTAAACAGGTGCAAGGGAATAGGGAGCTAGCTAGAGAAGTTTGAAGGGCTTGTTGAAATGCACAGTTGTAACGCAGGTGGTCTGCCTAAACAGACCTGCCAGCAGCTGGAATCTTGGTGTAGAACTGGTCTGAAGACGTGTTCGTAGCTTATCCTCCTGTTACGCCGGCATACGGAGCTGCGTTGTACCGCCTAGTACAATTGGCCCGCTGTGCTCTCCTTTGCCGCTAGTAGCTCTCCTGGGTCTTTCCTAGGCCCAGCACCTGAGAGTCCCTCTTTCCTGGAGATAATTCAAAGGCCTTCTCCAGGCAAGACGTCTGCGCTTCTAGCAGCGCATCGTCTGTTACACAGTGACTTACTACCTGTGTTCCACAGCAGTGTCATGGTCTGGCTGTGCTCTCTGCTTCCTCAGGGCAGTGTGCAAGAAATTCGGGCTGCACGTGAGCCGTCTCATGTTGGCTTTCTTGGTACTCAGCACTGGGATGTTCTGCTCAGCAGCTGGTAAGTAAAGACATGAATCAGGCAGGGATCGATTTCATGGTGGAATCTGATGGGTAAGGAGGTTTTTTTTCGGTGGGGTTTTCCTTGGTTAGGTATGGACTTGGGTAGTGGAGACAGAGGGAGGCATTCAACCCAGTGGGAGAGAGAAGAAAGTTGTGTGAGAGTAAAAGTCATGCTCTCTGCCTAAGTGGACTTTTCCTCTCCAATTTTTCCGGTTTCCTGCCTGAGATCCAGCTCAGCCTGCAAGTGCTTTTCAAGCTAGAAACGTAAACAAAAATAATCACCAAGATGCTCAAGTTCTGGCAAGGGCTTCGGAGTTTCACTGGGTGGCTAGCACAGTAGTTTTCCAGAAACGGTGATGCACAAGAACGGTTTCTCGGTTGAGTTTCAGCAGATTAAGAGCATGCAAGCCACTCCCCTTGCTTTGCACCGGTCGTATTACGTTTCGGAGAGAGAAGGGCATTCACGTAAAGCCTTCGTGTCAGCTGTACTGAGCTCCTGTCTTGTCTCCGGAGCTCTCTGCATCCCAGGATAAGCAGAGAGGATCTGCTGGGAAACATTTCCGGTGGTACAGGCAGGTGGGCCCCCAGGCAGCAAGAGGATGCTTCAGAAACATCTGTTCCAATTGAAGCTTTGCAGGGGTTACGCACGTGAATGGCCACATATTGACTGAGGCCTGTGCCTTTGCGAGCCGCTTATGGGGGTTCAGGCAGGAGTTGGGCTCTTCCTCTTGCAGCCTGCTGCCTTTAGCCAGAGATGAAGGCAAGACTGAGCAGAGCTTCTGGGCAACCAGAGATGCCCGGAACCTTCAGCATGCAGAGCAGGTGCTCTCCTCCTGAGCCGTGGCTCCTTTCCTAGATCGCATGATTTTCGGACCCTGCTGAGAACGCCTGCCGCCGCCGCCGCCACCGAGAAGCCTCGAGGGGCCCTTGGTGCTCTGTGCGCATGCTGCCAGGTCCTGACTGCCTTCTGCTTCCTTTGCGTTTCAGCCTTCCTCCCCAGCAGCTTCTGCATGTACAGCACAGTGATAGCAATGACGGGGTGGTACATGGATAAAATCCCTCTGGCCGTCCTCGGAGTGGCTGCTGGAGCCATCGTGGGCTGGCCCTTCAGTGCAGCGCTTGGGTAAGCAAAAGAGTGCCGGGAGCAAAGTGGGGACGGGAGCACTCGGGGCTGGGTGGCTTGGTCGGGGATCAGGCCAGCCAGCAAGGCAGTGGGAAGGCACCAGTGACTAATGGGGTGGGCTACAAACAAGCAAACAAAAGCTCATTCTTGTCATTCTAAAAATAGTTCAGAAAGTCCAGGAGAGCCCCTGGAGGATGTCAGTACCACACAAAGCACCCACAAATGACCGTCAGTGAGGACTCACAAGAACACAATAAATAGGTGAAGTCTTGTGAAGAGAAGCCTGGAGCACATGTCTTTAGCACCTGGCTCTTGGCTGGTGGATGTTGAGGTCTTGGTTGAAGCAACACAAACCCTGCAGGGCTGAGGTCAGCTCACCCCCTTCTTTTTCCAAAAGCCCTCTCCGCATTCCTTTTGCCCTGCTGCTTTCCTGTGCTACTTCTCAATTTCCACCCCTTCTAAATTTCACACCCTACTCCTGCTGCTGTTCTAAAAAGAAAGTGAGTTTTCAAGAAAAGGTCTTGAATAATTTAGAAACAGGCTGCATTCCAAGGTAGGCACTTAATTAAAAGTCTCTAGATGGTTGCTTGGGGACTGGAGATTTAGGGAGTTTTCCAAAGGCATTCAATCAGTGCTTTTAAGCATCCAGGCAGGCATTTAGACAGTCATTACCAATCGCTTGGGAACGGGGAAAGGGCTTGGGTGACTAAAGCATCTGTTTTGGTAGGCTTCCAATTGCCTTTGACTTCCTGATCCTGAAAAGGAGGTGGAAGAGCTTCTTGCAGTGGTCCCTTGCAGCACTGGTGGTGTTCCTGGTGAGTCCCCCAAATTGGGGGTGGGGGGTGGAATGATGGGGCTGAGCATCGAGCCCGATTCAGCAATGGGGCTGCAGTTTCCCTCATTGCCTCTGTGAGGACAGAGCAGGAGAAGACTCTGTGTGTTGAACAAGCAGAGCAAGCAGCTAGTCCTGTGAAGGTCTCAGGTGTTGCCATGGGGCAGACATGAGCTGCTGCACTTTTGTGACCTGAGCAAGGGCCAAAACATACCTGGTGGACACATGACTCTGTATGGAGTGAACACAGGAATACAGAAATTTTCCTTGGACACAGTCAGTCACAGCCCCTTCTCATCCAGTGGCGTCCAGACGGCTTGACAAAGGCACTCCGGAGTTTCTTTCTCCCATTCTGGGCAGTGCTGTTCTTTGCTTGTTCATTAATGCGGGAAATTCAAGCGTTGGTGCGGGGCCGTCTGGGGCATGCAGCCGATTTCTGACGAGCAGCGTGCTTTTTGTTGAAGGTGCCCCTGGTCATTATCGACAGCTACCATTACGGGAAGCTAGTGGTCACGCCGCTCAACATCGTCTTGTATAACGTCTTCACACCGCATGGACCTGATCTTTATGGTAAGCCCGCCTGCAGAAGCTGGGGGAACAGTTGGGGTCCTGAGTGTGCCGTGGTTAATCGTGCAAGCTGTGCTCCGGTGGGTTGATATTTTTATGCATTGATTTATAGCCTGCCTTTCAGCCTCTAACAGGCTCCCCAAGCTGGGGTAAATCATTCAAAACAGAGTTCAACATATTCAGCTAGCATTGCGAGAAATTCCCAGGTGCAAGTTCCACGCGGCTTCACTCGCGTGCCTAGAAGCGTGGTCACTTCTGCTGAGGCCAGTGATGTCGTTGTGGCTTTAGGAGAGCAAAGGACTTGCAAGCGTGTTCTTAATTTGGCGTTTCTGCACTAAACTGGAAGTCCGAGGGAGCTGGCAGCTTTGGCGGAAGACGTGCCTTCCGCAGGTGCCGGGGAATTCCCCGTAGTGCTGGTCGCGTCACCATGCACAGCATGTGTGTGTGTGGGAGTTGGATGCACAGGGAGGTTTGCCCGACCCCTGCAAAACCGCTGGTGAATGTGCCTGAAATGACGGTGCCTTCGGAGTTGTGGGCTGCCAAGCAGATCAGTTTTCCGTCGGGTGCTCGCTTCGTGAACCGCAGCCTCGCCCCGGGTGAGACCACTGGCCCATCCTGCTCGAAACAGGTGGCTGTCCTGACAGCAGGCCTCCGAGGCCCCAAGGGGAGGCGGACCTAGGCACACCGCCACGCGGCACCTGGCTTCCCGCGTCTGCAGCAGTGCGATCTTTGCCCTTGGCGGGTCCTTCATCCCTGTCGAATGGTTGCAGAACACATCCCCGCAAGACCTTGGAGCCTCTTCCGTCTGTCAGCGCACAGAGCCTGACCTTTCATGCATGAGCATAAGCTGACTCGGCTGTCCTCCGGGGAGCTGTGGATGCGGTAGAGTCTTACTCAGAATGACGCTTATGTAATGTTCTCATGCTGTGATGGCGTCTAGTCTGGAAACGTGATGGGGGGAAGGCTGTGGATGCTGAACCTGCTCTGCCGAGGCGCGTGCTCACAGATGACTCAAGGACAGGTCCGTATCCAGGAGGATTCTTCTTCGTTTGTTCTGGCTTTGGATTAAACCTCCACATTTGCCCCACCTGCCTTTGGGTCCACCTCTCTGGCATGGGTGTTGTTTTGTTTTAAAGCAAGCTTCTAGATCTTATGGGCACTGATAAACATTTGAAAAGGAAAACAAAGCAGGGCTTGAAAGATGGTTCCTTAGGTCAGAAAAATAACATTCCGGACAACTCCCTTTCTGTATCCTGCAGCTGTTGCTCAGGGCCTGAACTTATCCAGGGCACTGTCCGGCTACTAAAGGCCACTCCAGCCTGCTAAACATTAGATACTGGCACCTTTCTGCAGAACTGGGGACATGCTGCTGGCGTTCTGTCTTACTCACCTTGTTCTGCACATTGGTGCGCTTGTCTGTCCAGTCTTCCTTTCCCTCCTTCTGCTCCCACCTTTCCCACGTTGCAGGAAAATCTTGAAATGGCTGAACGCCTGGTTTGTCCTCTTTCCAAGATTTGCCTGCAAATGATGCGAGTTATTGCTTTGATGTGCTTTATTTAGTAGCAAGGCACTGCCGAAAAGGAGCACAGGTTTGGAGGCCATATTCTTGCAGAAACCCTCGCTGGAGAACTGGCCCTGGCTAACCGAACTGCATTTCTGTCTGCCTCTGATTCCATGACCGTGGGCTTCCCTCGGAGCCAAAGCAGACTCTCGCAGGGGATGCTACAGCCCCAGGACAGCCTATCTTGGCACGTGCAGTGCTTGGGGGCAGCAGTGGCAAAGGCTTGTGGACTTCAGATCCTGATTTTGGGATTCCCAGAGAAGGCACCCGCTGATCCCTGTGGGATACAGGATGCTGGGCTGGGCGGACCTTTGTTCATGGTCTTTTGTTCATTTCCGGTCCAGAATCTGTGGATGTACCAGCTTTGCTGCTGCCTGGGATTCTGCAACATCTAAATTACGGCGCGGATGCTTTGCTTGTCGAGGAGAAGTCACATTTCCTGCAATGGCCTCTTTTCCCTCCTGCAGGCACGGAGCCCTGGTCCTTCTACTTCGTAAACGGATTCTTGAACTTCAACGTGGCTTTTGCTCTGGCGCTCCTGGCCTTGCCGTTGACCTGCCTCATGGAAAGCCTGCTGCAGAAATTTCATGGTGAGTGTCGCAGTTTTTTCCTTCTTGACATGGAGGCTCGGGTGGAACCTGCCCGATATCCTTGGCATCCACGAAACCACGAGCAAAGGAGGTATCTGGGACATAGCTTGGCATGCTGGGAATCTCAGCTGAAAAGACAAACTTAAAGCAAGTTTCTAGGCCCTATTATTGCTAGAAAAAGCATCTCAAGGCCACGGCAGCTTCTGGGGAAACTTATCAGGCTGAGTAAGGCCTGTCTTGCATTCTATGCCGCACCTCTTGATACATTCAGAAACAGGTTAAATTTTCCATACATTTTGGTGTGCCTTCTCCATACAGCCCATGCAGTTCCAGATTTCTTGCCTTTTTATCTTCTGCAGTTTCTGCTACTATAAATTGGCAGTTGTGTCTGCTTTTGGCGAGCTACAGTGCTGAAACACGCCTTCCCGCTCTGCTTCGAAATAAGAAAAGACGGAAAAACAGCAGACCTGTTTCCCCTCCCAGTGTCATGCCACTCTGCCCTTTCAGAAACGTTTGCCTTAAAAAAAAATCCTTGTCACCTGTGGATTAACCAATGCCAGCCTTATTTGCAGAAATAAAGCAACGTATAACCAGCAGCAGCGCAAGTGTGTCGCAGGGACAAAGTGCAGGTTTCTTTGTTGCATGTTTGTGGCACTACAATGTAAGTGCAGAGAGGGCCGGGAAAGAACCCACTGTAGAGAGAAGTCTCAGCTGGCACTGTTTTTTATTCCTAGGAGCATCAGCCTGCAAGCAGGAGTATATAGCTGGGAGCTTGCAACCGCTGAGGCTTAGCTGGTTTGCGTTTGGTGACCTGGGGTACCGCTCTCTGGCTTAGGAGCGCAAGGACCCCCTGTCTGGATTAGGCCAGTGTTCAACACGTGTTAGCTGACGAATGAGACCCCAGCAGCCACTGGGGCTAGAAGGCCCCCCGGGATCGGCGAGGCCTGCATTCGGCTCCCTGACCCCACCCCACGCTTGGCGCAAGGCACAGGAGCTTGTGCGCCCAGGGAGAGCCACTAGAGTGCGCCAGCTCCCCGTCCTCCGCAGAGAGCCTTGTGCACTGTAGGACAGGCAGGCCGCCTGCCAGCCCAGCCCGGCAGCGGCAGTTCTGGTAACTCCCCACTCCATGCCTTTCGGCTTAGCAGATTGTGTCCCGAAGCCGCAGGGGTCCCTTCTGTGGTACGCCCTGTTCTTGCGGGCTTGTGAAACGCAGCCCTGGCCTGATTTGGCGAACACCCAAGCTTCTCCTTTCGGGGGCGATTCGGTGCTGCCTCCACAGCCCTTGCAAATTGGAGTAATTGGCTGTTATTTTCAAATAAACGACTTCCTGCCTCATTGGAGGGGAGATGAAGGGTGTTTTCTTTTCTTTTCTTTTGAAGCAGAGAAGGAATGCGCTTTGGGAGTTCCGGGCCTATTCTGTTGCTTCTGTAGCGAAGCGGCAGAGGCTTTGGAAGTGCCCCTCCCTAAGCAAGCATCTTTAGCCTCCACTTCTTAAGCTCCTCCGAGATTTCTCCTTTGGATGACCTTGTACAGCAGCTTGCAGGTAGCTGGCACTCCAGGGAGTGCGCTCTTGTTTTCCCACTGCGAGGCTTATAAACCTGCCAGCCTGTTCTGGCGGGACCTGCGCGCCTGCCTGTGCATGAACCCGTGTGCAAACTGGGCTGACCCATGCCGTCGCTGCTCCGCACGCACAGAGGAAGCCCCGCTGCATAGAAGGGCCGGGATTCACCTCTGTGCCCTGTTAAAGCACCAGGGTGTTGTTTTCACCCTGGGTTTTCTTTCCAGCAGTGCCTGGCCAGACCCTGTGAGAAGCTGATGCGCTGGTCCCAAAAGGCAGGGAGTTCCCCCACACCCCGTCTTTTGCCCCACATCTCTGGTCTTCGGAGTGGGGCTTTCCCTGTAGTGTATGAAGCCCGGGGCAGCTTTTCCACCCCGCAGCAGTTGTCATGGAGAGAAAGAGCTACGTCCTGTGCCGGGCAGGGATTGTGGGGTGGGGGAACCGAAAGGCCTGCCGTGAGACCCTTTAACTTTTCCCCTATGAGGATCTTCCCCAGCTGACCTTTTTTTCTTCCAGTTCAGAATCTGGGCCGCCCTTACTGGCTGACCCTCTCTCCTATGTACATCTGGATCCTGGTTTTCTTCAGCCAACCGCACAAGGAGGAGAGGTTCCTGTATCCGATCTACCCCCTTATTTGCCTCTGTGGGGCTGTGGGGCTCTCAGCTCTCCAGGTGTGTTCTTTGGAAGGGAGGGGCTCAGGGAGGGAGCTGTGCAGTGTTCCACGTATGAAAGGACATGTCCACACGGGACAACAGGTTCCCTCTGATGGCTCTTCCGGAGGAAGATCCATCCAGACAGGAGCACTCTGTACCTTCGTAACCATGAGGACTAGAAACTAGCTGTCCCACTCTTCTCAGTTCCCAGAGATGCTGAACTGTGCTTATTTATAAATGAACCATTTGAAAATCCTGCCCCAAGTTTTCCTGTACTAGCCTCACTTCATGTAAGACTACAGGTCACGTTTCTTTTAAAAGAAAAAATCATTTAAAATATTTTTCCAGCTGCTTTTCAGGGTACAGGCCTGCCCACCCCAGCTTATAGCATTAAACTTCATATAATAAATATTAAAGCAAAAAGAAGTGACAAACATTCACAAAGCAGACAGCAGCAATAAAACCCAGCATAATGGGCAGCTTTGTTATGTAGCTGCATCAACCCACAAAACTGGACAGGCCAGTAAAAAAGTAGTCAGTGAAAGGCCAGAGTAAAAACACAGGACCTCAGAGCCTCCTTCAAAGCCAGCCAAAGGCTTGCCATACCATAGTCAAGTGGCTAGCCCTCATGAATCCTCAGGCATGCATCACACAGTATAGTTTTCCTGCATGGGAACTGGAGAAATATGTTTTAAAAAAAGACTAAGCATACCTCCATCTTGTTGGAAAGGAACACGAGTGTACTTTGCCACACGTGTGTCGAGAAGCTGCTGCAGCTTCCGGATGTGTGTCTTCGTGGCCAGACAGAACCGTTTGTGGCCCTCCTCCCTTGTCCGATCGCATGCATCGTCATTCCCGGACTTGTGTCGAAATATCTGGTGCGAAGCTGTCGTGAGAGGACTCTCCCCTGCATCCGGAGTGGCCCCAGCCTGGGCTCCCCATTGCCGTCCAAACAACATGCCTCTTTTGCTCTCTCCCCGCTCACAGAAATGCTACCACTTCGTCTTCCAGCGCTACCGCCTGGAGCACTACACGGCCTCTTCCAACTGGCTGGCACTGGGCACAGTGCTCCTCTTCGGCCTCCTGTCCTTGTCGCGCTCCATGGCCCTGTTCAGAGGTGGGTGCCGCAGCAGTGCTGTCCCCTCTGTGCGCCTCAGACTAACTAGCACGACCCCTGGCGCGTCTGGCCTGTTCCTTCCCTGCCGGGAGGGCTCAGGTGGATCGGGACGCCTGGCCGGCTGCTCGGCCACATCCACGGGGGGAGGCGCCATGGGGCTGCAGGAAGACTCTGAGTTTCTGCCTCCAGGAGCGTTGCCAAATCCGAACCCAGCCGCCCTCCTGGGGCAGGTGTCTGCCTGTCTGGGATGCTGAAGACTACTGGCGGGGGCCGTGGGATTTAACGCCCCTGCACCCCCTCCCGCAAACATACACATCGGCTGTGAGGCTGACTTGAGGGTACCTCAGCCTGGAGCCTTCAGGATGGGAAATGTATAAAAATTGCTCGTTGGCAGCTGAGTCCCTCTTGAGACGCCAGCGTGGGTCCCGCTTGGAGACAGGCGTGGACAAATGCCCCCCCAGCCCCTGGGGAGCCGCTGCTGCTGGCCAGCGCAGGCAGTACCGGCTGGAAGCCCCGAGGGCCTCCGCGGAGCGCACCTGCGGGGGCTGCCTTTGTCCTCTGAGGGGGGTCCGGGTCCTGCAGGAGAGTTCATTTCTCAGTTCATCTCTTCCCCACAGGTTACCACGGGCCTCTTGACCTCTACCCAGAATTCCACAGAATCGCCACTGACCCCACCATCCACACCGTGCCGGAGGGCCGGCCAGTTCACGTGTGTGTCGGGAAGGAATGGCACCGATTCCCCAGCAGCTTCCTCCTGCCAGAGAAGTAAGCTTCTTGTCAGAAACGTAGCCGGGCTTAATCCCGAGACGGTCCAGGCCCTTATGCACATGCCCTGGTAACGTGGATGCCAAGAGCCTAGGCGAGGACTCTCTTTCCTGGAGCTGAATTCCAGCCTGGCTGCAGCAATTCCCAGGCAGGATCCGAGTCTGGCTGGAGCAGCTCCTCTTGAGGAAAGGCTGCCGCGTCTGGGACCGTTAGGCCAAGAAAATAAGCGAGGAGAGACTTGTCTCAGGGGTACAACATGGTGCGTGGTGAAGAAGACGTGGAGAGGGAGCTGTTTTGCTCCTGTCCTCATAATATTAGAGCCTCAAGGTTTATCTCCAAGCTCATTGGAGAGAGATTCAGAGCAGAGACAAGGCGATGCTTCTGTTAGCGGAACGGTGGAATTTATTCCCACAAGATGTCGTGACAGCCACCATTCTGGATGGTTTTTAAAGAGGATCAGACAAATTCTGAAGCGGGAGGGGGCTGTCGGTGGCCAGTGGCCTTGTTGGCCCTTCGCGGCCACCAGGATCAGAGCCACGGTGCTGTCGAATGGTGCCCCACGGAGGGCTTCCATCGCGCTGGCTCCCCTGTGAGCAGAATACTGGACTGGGTGGACCTCTGGCCTGGCTCAGCAGAGCCCTTGTGTTCTGAAGGCCACCTTTCTCAGTGGCTAAGCCTGGAAATTGGCCCGCATTAGATCCTGGGCTGTGGTTTTTGTGGCAGTCCTGCTGGCAGAAGGCAGAAGAAATGTGGTGAGGGAGCACAGTTCGGGTGCAGGCATTTCACACTCCCAAGGATTCTAGTCCTCCTGGCTGCCAACACTTAAGGAAAGCTTGACTGCCAGCCTACTAGTTGAGCAGGTCTGGGCTCAGGAAGGTCTGGCTGGCATATGCATTCTGGGGAGCTTCCATGGTTGCATGGTGCCAGGCCCTTCCCCACACAGGCAATGGTTACGCAAGAAGGCAGCGCTGTGCTGAATGCCTCGCGCAAGGGAAGAGGCGCGATGGAAGCCGGGCCAGCTTGCTTCCTGGACTTGACTCAGGACTGGCAGAATTGCATGGGTTTGGGGCTTTAAATGGGCTTCGCATGGGAGCCGTTGTGGCACTTCAGCCTGCACTTCTAAGTACCTCTGCAGTTTCCAACCAAGGCAGCATTCCCAGTAGAGACGTTTCTGCAGCTGTAAATTCAAGATTTTAATAACCTAAGGGCACCTAGATCATAAAGCGCCAGACGGGTGTCTTAAATAAAGAGAGGGAGGGAGAACGAGGCGTTAAATCCTTGCCCCCATCACAGGGGAGCAGTTCTTAAGAGAAACAGAACTCTGCATCGAAACCGCAGCACCATCACATCGAGCCTGGATTAGTTCCCAGCGTGCCAGAGATCAGGGTCCAGGCAACAGCTGAGAGCGGCGATCTTGAAGTCACTGAAGCGCAGGCCAAGGAGTGTGGAGGATGAAACACCTGTGAATTTCAAAATGTGAATTTCACAAGGGCCTGTACTGGCTGCAGGCTGCTCATCTTCCCTCTTCCTGACAAAGGGTCCTGGTTCTGCTTGCCTTCCCGGAGTGTCGCTCTCTCCTCCTCCTGGCGGACCTGACCCAGGTGGGCTTGGCATCTCTCTGCTGCTGTGCAGAAGCACCCAGAGCTTGTCCTGCAAGGAGCAGTCAGTAAGCACAAGACAGAGGTGCTTCTTCGCAGCCCCGCCTTCCCACTGAGGTCAAGGGGGCCCAGCACACAACGAAGGCCCCCGGAGGTGTTGCCCAGCGGTCCTCAGGCAGGGCCTGGCCGCGCTTACGGCCCTCCTCCCATGAGGTCACTGCCTGTGCTTCTGAAAATGGTGCCGCAGGAAGGTTTGCATGTGCTTCTCTGTCCCTCTTGCAGTTGGCAGCTTCAGTTCATTCCATCCGAATTCAGGGGCCAGCTGCCAAAACCGTTTGCCAAGGGACCAGCAGCCACGCGCATGATTCCAACGGACATGAACGACCAAAACCAGGAAGAGCCCTCCAGATATGTAAGTGGCACGCTCTGCTCACACGTGCTCCGGCCCTTCGCATGCTTCCAGAAAGCGCTGTCGCTCTGCCCTTGCCCGGGGTGCACTCGTGGGCAGTGGGGCTTCCCGTTCGATCGCGCTGTCTTTCTGTCTGATCCCAAGTATGTAGGGCAATCGCTCGGGAACCTCAGTGGAGCTAAATAGCTTAGGAAATGCTTTCCGGTAGAAGAAGCCGTTCTGCCAATGGTGCTCAGACTCCCAAGGATTCTAGCAAATGCGAGCTCTCTCATCAAGCGGTCAGGGGACGAGGAAGGCCACGGGGCCTCTGGAAGAAGGTCAGCCAGGCTGACACGGGCAGCTGCTGCTCCCCAGCTGATGCAGTCTGCATTGACCAGGCAGCGCTGAGATGCTCAGGCCAGCTTTCCCCAACCTGTCGCCCGCCAGGTGTGCTGGACCGCACCTCCCAGGATCTGCCTGGGGAACGCCAGGAGTCATGGCAAACACCTCGGGGGAGACCGGCTGCGGAGAGCTGCTTAGGATGGGCATGTGCCCGGCTGATGTTCAAGGGAAGCCGCTTCCCCAGACAAGGAACTGCGCGCGGCGTGGCTGGGGCTGCCCAGAGAGGGCTCGGAGGGCTTGGGCGGCATCCCCGAAGTGGAGGGTCCCTGCCCCAGCTGCCCTCTCTTCCTACAGTTTGATATTTCCAAATGCCACTACCTGGTGGATTTGGACACCCCAAGCGAAGCGCCCAGGGAGCCGAGGTACGCCGCCAACACGGATGCCTGGATGAGCATTGCCTACAAGCCCTTCCTGGACAGTTCCAGGTAAGCCGCTGCCGCGGGTGAGGAAACGGGGGTCACAGAGGGAGGACTCCTTCTGGCCGGGGCCCGAGCGGAGCTTCCTGCAGCACGAGCACAGTGGGCCCGCGCTCTGCGACGGGAGGCCCGACCGCACCGAGGGCTGTTCTGGAAACGAGGCGTGTCTCCCTACATGGGCCTGCCTGTCATTGTGCACTCGTCCCGACGGGGCTGCCCTCCGGGGAGGCCGACGGCCTGGCGCTATTTCTGACAACGGCCCTCTGGAGGGCAGAGCTCGGGCCGCGCTTGAGCTCCACCTGGGCGCCTCTGCCGTGGAGAAGGAATGTTTGCCCCAGCCGAGGGGGCTGTTGGCAGCCCGCAGGCGGCTCCTCTCTCTCCGCCCCCGCCCAGAGGCGAGCCTTGGCCCGCCAGCATGAGTCCCGGGGCGTGACGTCAATGCACCCCCTCACCTCGGAATCTGCCTTGTCCCCGGGTCGCCCACCCGTCTGCAGAGGCCACGCACAACACGGCCACTCGCCCAGGTGTGCCTGCACATCGCAGGCGGCCGCCTTTCCAAGGAGCGCGCCCGCCGCCACCACCTTCAGCGGGAAAGGAAAGCTGCTTTCAGGGCTCTTCCCGGCCCTCGCCTCTTCCCTCCCCACCTCACAGGGGCCGCGGCAAGAGCACCATCTGCACTACAGCATTTGGAACCTGTCTGGCATTCCCCACATTGCGCTCGCGCTCGCGCACTCTCTCTCATTCTCTCCCTCTCTGAAAAATTGAGTGTGATTGGGAATCGCAGTCCCTTTTATGGAAGCGCTCGACGAGTGGGTGGCTGGGAACCCAGCCCTGTGAGAATTTCCCCGGGAAGCGGGGCAGTGGTGGGAGAGGTGTTAGTAGATTAGCAGCTTGGCTGAGAAACGGCACTGCCAGCCCCGGAGACGGAGGCGGCGGGTGCCGCCAGGAGAGGCAGCATCCTGCGTCTCTAGTGGACGCCGAGGCTCACCGGCAGCGCCTCCCTTCGAAGGCGGCCAGACCTGGTGCTCAGGTTCCCCCAGCCTCCGGTCGTTTGGTGCTTTCCTGGCCGTCGTACGCTTTTCCGCCCATCCGAAGGCTTAGTTTCTGCCCAGAAAAGCTTTGAGCTACAGCAATATTTTTGGCCTTTATGCTAGAAATCTGCTCCTAAAAGCGGCCCCACAGTGGCCTTCCCACCCTTCCCTGAAAGCGGTTTCGAATCTTCCTCTGAAGAAATGGAGCCGAGATCCCAGGTGCTCCAATTTCCACGGAGTCAGTCCTTTCCCGTGAATTAAGCTTGCGCCATTCTGCGTGTGGGGATCAGGCGTGCCCGGCGTGTTTCAGGCATGTGCTTTTCATACTCTGTCCGTCTGGTGCGGCTGCAGAGGGAGCCATGTCCAGAAGCGAGCTGCAGATCTCCAGTCCCGCAGTTTCTGAACAGGCAGCCTGGGACTCGCTCCCTCCGAATCGCAGGATGGTTCTGCTCTCCATTAGCTCATCTGTCCCGGAGAGGGCAGGGCCTTGTGACCGACAGGAGGCACGGGGCGCAGTCCCTGTGGGATGCGCCTGGCGCGAGACCGCCTCTCCCCTTCCTGGGGAGGCCCCTGGGCTCGCCTCGAGCACGGACGGCGGCTCCGCTGCCCCGTCCCCCGGTTGCGAGGGGGGCGAGCACGCAGGCCTGCTGGACGTTGGCACTCGGACTCTTGGCAGCTGCGCCTTTGATCTGAGCAGAGAAGCCAGGAGGGGACCGACCGGGGTGGCTGTTGGCTATTTTCGGAGGCTGGAATTGGACCAGCCGGGGTGGGGGAGGGAGGGGGGCCGTGCGGCTGCCTGCGACAGGCCCATGCCTCGGGCCGCCTGCCCCTCGCTCCACCAGGCTGATCGATTGCTGCGGTGCAGTCATCCATCCGCCTGGCCTCGCTTGGAAGGTCCCCACTCCATGGCAGGGCCGCATCCTGCCTCCAGGACAGCCAGTTTGGTGCTTGGACGCGAGGGCAGAAAGGTCGCAAAGTGCACGCATGCACGCACGCATGCACGCACGTCCGCCTGGGGAAGGGCCCCATGCCGGGCTGGGGGGACGGCCCCGCTCGAGCTTTCGTCTGCTTTCATCCTTCCCGCAACAGCTGCCCCACTTCTCTGGGAACAGAATGACCCCGGCTGCTGGATTCGCAGTCGCTGAACCCGCAGCTTCTGGGAGACCACGAGTCCCCCGTTGACGTCAGCGAGCGCCGCGGCAACTCTCAATTGGCTCTGATAAATGGTGCCGCTAATTGAATTAGAGCGCACTCTGAGCCTTCGACTAATTATGCTGCTCAGCTTGTCTGGACTGTTGAATTCTGCAAAGGCTGAGCACTCCAGCTCCAGCTCCGGGGAGTAGAAGGCCGCCGAGGAAGCTGTTTGGGATCGACATCTTTCTGCCTCTCGGCTCAGCTTTTGCCGCATACCTGTGGACTCTTGGAAAGCCCCTGCGTCGTCGTCAGCAGATTGCATTTGTACCCTCCTTTCTTCCGCTTGTAAAGAACCCACGGCGGCTCGCAAGCTTCTTGTCCTCCTCATTTTATCCTCACAACAGCAACCCTCTGAGGCAGGTCAGGCTGTGATTGGCCCAAAGTTTGGTGGCTGAGCTGGGACTGGAACCCAGTTCTCTTGAACCACAGCTCAGTGGTCTTAACCACTACACCACCCTGGCAATCTGGGCATTAGGCTACAATCCTGGTGAGGGGATTATGGGAATTGTCATCTACCACGTCTGGAGGGCCACAGGATGGGGAAGCCTGCCCTGCATTGTTTGTGGGCAAGTCCATTTCAGGGCCCAGTTTCAGAAGTTGGGTCGCTGTGCTTGCTAGATTCACCTCGGGAGTCTGTGTGGTGTGGTGGTTAAGAGCGCAGGGCTGGGACTCAGGAGACCTGGGTTCTAGTCCCCACGCAGCCATGAAGCCAAGTGGCACAGACTCTCAACCTAACCCACCTTGCAGGGTTGTTGTGCAGATAAGATGGCGAGCAGGAGGAGAAGAATGATGTAAGCTGCTTTGAGTTCTTTGAAAAAGAAAAAGGCAGGACTGAGACCTAAGCAACAAATAAGAACCCGTCACAGTTTGTCGTACGTATTATTGCCAAGTCCCTCTTGCTTTTCCAGGTCTTCCAAGCTGTTTCGGGCCTTCTACATCCCCTTCCTCTCAGACCAGTACACCACCTACATGAACTATACCATCCTGAAGCCACGACGCTTGAAGCAGGCCAGGAAAAAGCCGGGTGCCTAGCACCTCTCAGGACTGGAAGAGGGGCGCCCGAGGGCCCGGTTTCTGCTTCGGGTTTCAGAGCCCCGCCTGCCAGCCCCGGTTGCGGACGTGGCATGGGCTGGTGGGGAGGGAAGCACGCCCACCTTTGGCTGTAAGGAGGCGCGAACCGACCCCGGAGACAGTCCTGTGCTCTGCTTTCGGAAACTCTTCTGGGGAAGGGCTGGCCAGGTGCGGTCGGCCAGTCCGTCGTCTCTCTTGCTGAGCAGCCGGCAGGGATGATGCTGTGCTGACGGAGAGGGGCCGCCCCCTCGTGGCAGCTGGAGCCAGTGGGGGCCACGTCCCGGGCCCTCCAGCATCCCCCACCTCCACAGGCCATCCCGCCTGCCCAGGGATGAGCGGTCCAAGTTTTTCCCCCAGCGGCCTTTTGGAGAGAGAATTCGGCAGGAGCAGCAGGTGCGCCAGGGTCTGCAGGGGAACCGCCCTCCTCTACTCTCACTCAGCTGGAATAACTTGCACTTTCAAAAACCGTGACTTCTGTTAATTGAGCAATTTAGTGACCTATGAGTTCTGTGTGGATAGGTTTTTATTTTAAAGACCTTTTATTGTCTTTGTCTTCAGCGGCTGCCGAAACGCCATTTCTCCGTTTTCCTTTTACTCTCCTCTGAATGCAGGGCTCTTCGTGAAATGTCTGGCTTTGCAGCATTCCCAAATTTACAGCGAGGTAGGAAAGAGAGCGCGCTCTCCCCGTTTTTGTGCAGCGTCGCTGTGGAAGCCGGCCGCGTCATTTCTCTGTCATGTACCACGAGGCTGTCTTTAGTGCCGATTAAAAATCAGGGTTCATCCTCTCCAGAGAGAGTTACTGAACTTCATAATTCGGTAGCCAACAATAGAGGAAGACTCAGAATTATACAGCCAGGATTTCTCCCCGAGTTCTCTGCACACGGATGCAAGAGCGTTCCTCCCATCTCTCCCTCTGCACCTCCCCTCCCCTCCCCTCCCGCGGGGCCGGCCGAACTCTCCCTGGACTCCAAGGGAGATGAAAACTGTTCGGCATCACACGAAAGCCGGCTGCTCTTTGCATCCTGGGAAACAGAGGCCCCTCTTCGGAGGCTGGAGCTGGCGCTCCGAGAACCCAAGAGACTCCCGCAGCCAAGAGGGGTGGGAAGAGCTGCTCGTGCAGAGATGCGCTCCGCCACGAGGGGGGGCGTGTGGCCTGCCAGCACTTCCCACAAGGGCTCACTCTTTCCCCTGCCATCTCAGCTCCCCAAGCTAGGGCCCTCTTTCTAACCCTCGCCTGCCCCAGCGGGCCCGGGCCTTGGGGGATTGGGGCCGGCCAGCTTTTGCCCCTTCCAGACAGCACCGGCTCCCCCGTTTACACGCCAGATGAGCTCTTCCGTGCTTTGGACATCCGCCGGGAAGGCGGCCATCCAGCCTTCCTCACTGCTAGGAACATCTTACTGCGTAGAGAATGACTTCTTGGCCTTGCTTTTGCATTCTGGGCTCCACGTCCATCGCCCCCCCCCCCCGCCCCCAGCTGCCTTTTCTCCGTATGACAGGGAAGCGCCTTGCAGCGGCTCAATTGTGCGCAGAGGCACCCCAGAGCTGCTGGAAGTTCTGTAAGTCACGACGTCTTGAGCTGACGGGCCAGAGACTGGCACGATCCCCGCAGCTGCTTTATGCAACACGGTATGAATCATGCCACCAACAAGCTCAGAGCCTATTATTAGATTAGGAAGCTGCCGCTTCAAGACAAGAGTTCCTTATGAGTTTTGGTTATTTCTGCCACAGGGCTGGCCTGGGAGACACTGGCCGAGGCAAAGCAAACAAGAGGAACTTTGCTTCCTGGGAATCCCGGTGCTCCCACAGTCTGCGCAGCTTTGCAGACCTGCTCAAGAACCCTTGATTTTTATTTGTGTATTCGCTCCACTTTCACACAGCCAGAGCGCTCTAGGCAGCTCGCAAAGATTGCTGTCGACATTCGTGTCAGTTAACGGGGGCCTCTTGCCGTGCAAAACCAGCTTTGCACGCTGTGGAGCGCAGCTTGGCCGTCTTGGCGTGCATCCGGCTGCAGCATCCTTGTTTTCTGGGCCAGTAACTCCCTCATCTGCACTTCTTCAGGAAGGAAAACCGGGCCTCTTAAGATCCTTGCACATTCGCACTTACGTGGCCAACAGGTGGGTTCCTCTGGATGGGGCAGGTTCTCTGCTTCCATCTCCTGCCTGCACCTATCTAATTGCTCCTGGGGATACAGCAGGGCAGGGCAGATCCTGAACTGCACAGGCCCCAGCTAGCTGGATTCTCCGCTGATTTCAGGCCATTGCTGCGGCTTTCAGGCTGTCCGGTCCCCCTTTCCCTGCCTGCTTGGCCCATGCTCAGCATCCCCGGAAGGCGCACGCTGGCCCGGCTGTTTTCTCCTGCCGTCCTCTGCCTGCTGCTCGAGGGTGAGGGCAGCAGCCCTTTCTTGCTTGTGTGAGCAATGCACGACTGCATGTCAGCCCATGTCCTGTTTGCTGAGAGCACCACCCCAAAAAAAGTAATGCCCGGTGGGATTTCAACCCCACCCCAGGCCCCTGCCTACACAACCGCCATCTTGTTCTCTCCGAATTCTAGGAGTTTACTTTCCAGAGTTGTTTAATCTGAGTATTTTGGCAGGAAAAGAACTAATATTATAAATAAAAACATGCCACAATAAGGGTGTTGGCCTTGAGGGTATCAGCAGATGCCATCTTTCTATTACCATGCCAATAAAAATGTCAGTAGCCTGGAACGGGGGGTATTTTCGAAGGCTGCATTGTCCCTGGACTGCTTCCGCTTGAACAGAGGAAGACGCCCGGTCAGCCGAATAATTGCAGTCTTTACTGGGGCTGACACAAGCCGCAGCGTTGACCGTCTGTGCCAAGGGGCCTGAAGGTGGCACACCGGGGCCCTTTGGCTACCAAGGAATGTGTCTGCCCGGCGCTACCCTCTCCTGCTGGCGCGGGACTCGAGCAAGGCATCCGGAGGTCCCCATCCGGCGCACAAGTACCATTCGTGACAATCTGAGCACCTTCAACAGAAGATCACACACCCCTCTCCATGATCAACGTGGAATAATTCACCACCACCCTGTGAATGTCAACAGTGATGGCTTCATAAACAAGCTCGAGGGAAGACGAGAGTTTCTGGGGCAGCGTTCCAGCAAGAGGAGCTACCCGTCAAAACAAGCTCAAGCCAGCAAGAAACATTTTGCTAACAGCTTGCTCGAAAGAGAAAATATTGGAGGGCTGACGGAACGAAGCTTTTTGTGTGTCCTCCAGTTTGGGAGGCACGTTTCTGGCGCGCCAGCAAGCCAAGCTCGTAGGAAAGGAAGACCGTCCGGGGAGACGGTGTCGAGCAGTGACAGAGGAGGTCACATCGACAAGCCCGTGAGGCCTCTTCATTTGAACCCAAGTCCGTGTGTCTTTTCCTGTCCAGGTGGAGGGAGGGGAAATGGCGAAAAAGTAGCAGAAATACCGGTCGGTGGGACGAGAGACGAGGTGTTGCCAAGTTAGCATCAAAAACTAAAAAGGGGGAAAGGAAGACAAAACTTCTGAGGTGTAGGAAAGTGTGTACTTACAAGCGCCATTGTTCTCGTTGCACCAGCATCCCGTGAGTTCTGACCAGCTGCTCAGCTGCAAAGCCGCTGGGTTGGGATGCTTGATCTGGAAGAGGGCGGCCTCCACAGCGGATCGGAGGTCAGTGCTACCCATCTGCCACATGCACAGTGGAGCAGTGTGCCACCCTGAACTAGAAATGACACAGAGCGCCAATAACTCAAGGCCTCCGTCTGTCCCCCAGGCTGTCCATCCAAGTCACACAGGAAATGTCATGCTTCCATGCAGCATTTTATCAAGGAGTTCAGCATTTGCAGAATACTTCTTCCTTCCCTGCCCTCCAATGCACCCATTTTACAGATGGAATAGAAACAGAGAAACAGCGCGAGTCAGAAGGGGTCTCCCGGGTCATCTAGTCTGACCCCTGGCTCCAGCCGGCTCTGCTCACCACATGCCCACCATGTGCATGACTAGCCTACTACCTTTGAACACCCTCACCGATGGGGCCTCAACCACCTCCCGCGGAAGCCCTTTCCATACCCTCGGGGTCCTAACTTTCAGGAAGTGCTTCCTGGCATCCAAACTGAACCTTGGTTGCCTGAGCTTCACTCCATTGGAGCGCGTCCTGCCCTCCTCTGACGGGGAGAACAGGTCTCTAACCATCTCCATGTGACATCCCCTCACATACCTGTATGTTGCCAACAGATCCCCTCTGAGTCTCCTCCAGGCTGAAGAGACCCAGTTCCCTCAGTCTCGCCTCATACAGCATCCCCTGCAAACTGGCCACCAAACTTGTGGCCCGACGCTGCACTGACTCCAACCTTGCTATATCCCTCTTGTAATGAGGGGCCCAGAACTGAGCACAACACTCCAGTTGTGGGCGCACCAGAGTCGTATAGAGTGGCAGTAATCCCTCTCTCAATCTGGAAGCCACACTTCTGGCTATGCAACCAAGGGTGGTGTTCGCCCTCTTGACCACCACATCACACGGCTGACCCAGGTTCAGCCTGCAGTCAACCAGGACCCCGAGATCCCTTTCACAAGCGCTGCTCTCCAGCCTGTACTTATGAATACCCTAAAGAGACTTTGCGTCAGCATTCTCGAAGTATTCCTTTCGCTTTCTCTTTGCCTTGCCCACATGAAACCCTGGGCCCCCATAAAGCGGCACAGGAGCTGAGGCCCCCTTTCGAGGCTCTTCCTCCCTCTCCAGCCTGCCTGCATTGATGCTTGTTGGTTCTCTGAGATCCAATTGCTCCCGTGTCCTGGCTCTTGCAGAACCAACAGCCTCTGGAAAGGGGACTGGAGACAGTGTCCCTGAAAGGCGGCCAGGGAGTGGACGAAAGGGAAAGGGGCAGTGTTGGGCCAGGCAAGGCTAAAGCACAGCCTTGCCTCTCCGTGCTGCTTGCTTTCCCAGGGAGCTGGAGGGGTTCTGGCACCTTTTCCTCTGAGTCCCATCAGAGGGTGGGAAGGCGCTGCAGGATGTCCTGCCCCCTCTCACACGTTCGCCTTCCTCCTCTGCCCAGAGACCGGCCCCGCTGCTTCTGTCTGTGCAGCTGACTAGACTCGCCTCCCGTTACTTTCTCGCAAAGGACCATCTGCCACTAAGTCTTGCTGTTGACGAGGGAGTCTTGCTGCCAGTACCTCCACCAGAGACCACCTGGGGGCACTAGCTCTCCCTGCTTCAGCTGCTCAAAATTTCCAGTGCAGTGTCATTGGGGCAGAGACCTTTCTTCTTCTGCAACACAGTCTGTACACGGATGACACGGTATACATTTAAGAATCATCTGTGACTTTCAACAAACACTGCTGTGCATTCCAGTTGTCTATTATTATATGAAGTCCAGAAATATTTTGATCATCTTTGGTCCACCAATAATTCGATTTTGGCTTTGTTTGCACCCAGACAGAAAAGGAGAAAGCACCTTGTTGCCATGGTAAGTCGTGAAATGCAGATAAAAGCACTCAAGTTTTCTCTGTCTCACGAGCAACTTTGGACGCGACCCTGGAGTGCAGAGCCAGAATCGATTCCCCTCGGTGGACGGCTCAGCCTACCTGGCTGCTTACCAAAATGTGCTTGTTTTCAAGAAAAATGTTAACAAACCACAGCAGGGCCGGCAGAAGGGTTTGGACTTTGAGCTGGAGCAAGAATAAATACATTGTGGACAACGGGAAGGAGGTCTGGGACTCGCAGGCTTTGAATTGTATTGAGGGCCTGAGCCGGGAGGAACGGCGAGGGGAGAGGTGGGGTGGGGTGGGTTGGCAGGTGGGGTGGTCCAGATATTTTGCAACCTGCAGCAGGAAGAGGGCTTTTCCAAGCCCTGGGTATCCTCACTTGGTTTCTGGGAGCCACACAACCAGAGCATCTTAGACATAGCTGAGATGTGACGGCTTTTCTGGGAATCTCAGTATCCACGAGGCCGTTATGGAAACTGGTAGGGATGGGGACACATTTCCCGAACTGTGGCTCCAGGCAGAAGCCCTTCCTTGGTGAAGCAGCCAGAAATCCGCATCCACGTCAGAATGTGCGATGTGCCAACCGGCACTGGGGAAATGGGGCATTGCAGCCTCTTCAGCACAGCTGGAAAGGGCGAGAGCCAGAAGGTCCTGCACCAAGGGCGAACTTACCGCAAGGATCGCAGTAAAACCGGCAAGGTGGCTCTTGACCTCGGATGGCCTCCTGAATCCATTGCTGGGCAAGTGGATGGCACGGGACTATTCGGGAGTGGCTGGAACATGAACGGAGATGGCCAAGCTATTCTCTGTGCAAACCTGCCCATACTGGCTTCACACCACACAATAAACTCTGGCAGCATATCAGCCAGGGGTGGCTTGCCGTGCTGTGTGAACCCAGTCACTGTTCCAGGGACCTCTTACATTATCGGAAGATCAGAGCAGGCTTGCGAGGATTGCTGGACCTTTGAAAACCCAGTACAGATGCTTCGGAATATTGCTCTTCCCGGCTCCCCAGCTTTCAGTCTGAGTTACGTAAGGCTAAAGAAGACATTTTAACCAGGCAGAGCAGGATAAAAGACAGCCGGTGGGGTGTAGTGGTTAAGAGCACGGGACTGGGACTCGGATGATCCGGGTTCGAGTCCCCGCTCAGCCATGGAGCCCACTGGGTGACTTTGGGCCAGTCACAGACTCGCAGCCCAACCTACCTCACAGGGGTGTTGTTGTGGGGATAAGATGGAGGAGGAGAATGATGTAAGCTGCCTTGAGCCCTTTGTAGGGAAAAGGCAGGATAAAAATGGGGGGGGGGGGGAGCACCCGTACAGTGCATGGAACTAAAGGAAGAGCCCGTCCTGGCTAAGCTTGGTTTTCTTTGCTTCTTTGGGGAACATTCCCCAGCAGGAAATTTATCTGTGCACGAAAGGCTGCTGAGAGAGTTATGCATTATTCAGGCTAATCAAAGCACGGCTGTAACCATCATGGGGGGCGGGAGGGGGGCAGGGAAGCCTGGGGCAGCGGCTCTGGCTCCTGCTGAAGGTGATTGCAGGCCGGGCATCGTGAGCAGCATCTCCTTGGAGCTGTTGCCATGCCAACGCATCTGCCTAGGTGATTGCCACTTGTTGAAAGTTTGCGATGATGAACGAGCCGCCAGGAGGGCTGCTGGAGGGCCTCCTATTAAGCTGCTTTTGCCAAAGGGCGCTCCACGAGCTGCGGAAAATTTAAAGCGCTGTTTAACGGGTGGGCAGGACGGGTCCACCTCTCCCGAGATTGCCCTCTGCTGCAGGAAGAGGACGGCTTGACTGTCCGGGTCAGCCCTCAATGCCTTTCCAAAGCCAGTGCAGGGCCAGCTCTGAACGTCAACGTGTTTGGCTGCACGGATTCTGCTGCTAGGAAGCACGAATCTTGTGATCAGAATTGCGCAGTCTTTTGCATTTTTCTTGTGCCTCGCTTCATTTTTTTTCTAGGTTACCCAAAAGCTGGAAACCCGTTTGAGCGAAGAAAGGGAGGAGTGAGCTGGAGAGGCTTCCAAGCTCCCGTCTGAGGGCCAAACAGAAGTGATGGGTTTTAAAATAAAAAGGATCTACGGCACAAAAAGAGGTACGCATCTAGTCGGTGAGAGCTCCTGCTGAAAGGGTAAGGCGCACTCTGGCGATTTCAATGCATGGTGTTATTTACCCGGTTGACGTCAGCGAGAGCACGTTCTCTGCTTCCATTCGCGCTAGAAGCCTGCAAGATAGCAAGCACCTGATCGTTTTACTGGCTTGAAAATGCTGGGTAACCCTTTGTAGTGCACAGCCCACGATGCAGAGTGTGCGCACAAAAGCAAAATCTTGGGACTGCCTGCAGAAGGGCACACCCTGTCCAGTTTTAGTAACTTACGCAATTCGGCGCAAAACTTCCAGCACCAGATGAGCTCTTGCCAAAAAGATAGGCTGCCGTCGTGTCTGTTTGACAGCTCTGGATTTATGAAAGAGGAGCTACAAGCATTTCCAAGCAGCCCTAAATAAGCACCTTCCTAATGTAGGATGCCGTGAACAAACCCAAGATGGCCGAAACATTAGAATGTTCTTGGAAAAAGGAGCACAAATCAGCTTATCTTTAATGCTCCAGTATCCAACCTAAACCCAGTCCAACATTTTATTGCGAGAAACCTTTCCAAAGCATAAGCTAGACTGTGTAGATGAATCTGCGTTTGTTTACTTTTAAACACAGGCTTGATTGAGAAGGCCCAGAATAAAGCAGGCCTGGAAAGACTTCTGAGCAAAGCCCCCTTCCCTGGGGTCTCCTCTTAAGGGACAGCGCCGTGAAGAGGAAGTCAAAATGGGTGATAGGGTACGCTTGTGCTGTGCGGTGGGGACACCAGCTGCCCTGTTGGAAGCAAGCTGGGCCAAAGCCGTTCTGATGCAAGAAGCTGCTGGGCTATACACGCCCCCCTGCCCCAACTGGGGGACCGCACAATCTCCCGCCGGCTCCCCCTTGGCAGCCCTGGATGCTCGCTGGGCAAACACCCCCACATTTGCACCCATTGCTGTAGGAGGGTGTCCTGCAAGCCACTGAGCACTCTTCGAAGTGAAGCGTCTTGCCTCTTCCTGCTGTGTTGCGGGAAGCAAAGGTCTGAAAAGTAGGGTTGATGTGGGGCAGGAAGGCTTTTTGGGTGCCCGGCACTGCCAGAGCTCACATCCTTATGCTAAGGTTGCCAACGCGAAGGACTAAAGGAGCTGCTGAGGAGAAGCCAAGCTGGTGACTGATATGGGCCACCCAATGGTTTCCTGGCCACATCGTTAGCGCTTGCTCCCACGCGTGTCCTGCTCATTCCGTTCATCGAGCCTCTTTCTTGGGTCGCACCAGAGCAAGCTTGGGCCCCATGCAGTCGCACACAGAATTTACAAGATTTATTTTCTGATGAGCGTATGCCTTCTCCACAGAGCCAGGCCCCGTGTTGCATTGAAAACGAGTCTGCATCAAATTAACTTTCTGTAATTTATCTGTGAATCAATTGGCAACCCCAGGGATATCAAGGAAATGGAATTATTCCTCTCCTAACAGGGCCGAAGTACAAGCAAAGGCATCAATGACACGTCGCAAAGCGACGTTTCGCAGAGATTCATCTTCTTCCCCGCCATTCCAGCAATGCAACATGAAGGGACATGCGGTGCAGCTTGAATGAAGAACGACGTGCGCACGGGTGCAGCTTCCTTTTGATGCTCTAATCGATGCTTCTGGAAAGTTGCCCATGGTCCAACGGCCACTGGGAGCCCTTGAGGAAAGGAAGGGCCACACGAACCTCTGGGGCCCCCTGCATTACATTTCTGAAAGTGCTCTACTTCGCCCTAATGCCCCCCTTTGAGGAAAGGGCCACTTGCCACCGTTCTGCCTTGGCCATGCATCCCGCACACCCGCCAGAAATGCCTAATTTCATTCTGCTGCAGTGCGGAGGGACGGATTCCTGGCTCCCGTCAACACCACAGCACTTTCATGGTTTGTTTCAAGGAGAGGAAAAGGTCGGAGAGCACACCACCGGGAGAAGCGGGGCGGCTTTCTCCAGGCTGGTGCTCTCCAGAAGTCTCGGGTTCCCGCTCGCCCAGCGGGCGAAGGATTGCAGGGGCTGTCACGTGATGCGGCTGGAACCGCCAGGGCAGTACGCCACGCTTGGCAAACGCTCCCTGCCGCCGACTGCCAGAGGCCAGTGTGAGTTGCAAAAGCCCTTCTGTGACCAGAACGCCGCTGCTTCGTCCCTTCGGCTGCCTTTCCTCACAGCCAGCAGTCCCGGCACCCCCAGGGAAAGGCGAACAAGACCAGGAGGAGCAGCCACTGCAGCTCACCAAAAACGTAAGAAAGAGAAGGTCCACGTTCTTTATTTTGCATGAATACACTGTGATAGTTTTTAGAGTCCAGCATACCAACTGCATGTAAATACTACAGATGGGTTGCACCAGAACTGGTGCTCACAAAACTAGTGCATTTCTCCCCAAAGCGAAGACTAAACCCTTTTAACTCTTCTTAAAAAAATACATTAAAGAACGTACCACACATACACATATTGCACTTGTCTCCATATGAAAGTTTTCGTTTAACCCCAAGTACATCTCACCAAAGTCTCTTCAAAGGAACTCGCATTAAAACTAATAAAGCTCATAGTTGTGGCACAGTAGTTTACACAAACCCTCTGATGGACACGGCAGACGGACAGAAGCGGTTATTTTGAAGTGGCACGAACACCGAGGGAGGCAGCGCTCTGGGGGGTGTGAGTGGGGCTGAAGAAGTTTCTTCCCCTGCTGCTGTTACAGAAATGACCCCAAACGCTCGGATGTGGTCTGGTGAGAGGGGGGCAGGCCTCCCAGTCCTACCTAGGAGCTGAAGGACAAGGCTGTGGCCAGGGGAACGACCTCTGGACAGGTCTGCCTGGCTCGCAGGGCAGTGACACGTGGGGTGCCGGGTGCCCCGGGGGCATCAGGGGCCTGGCAGCTCTGAGGCCTGTTCGCGGGTTTCCCGCAGTCCTTGGCAAGAGCAGGTGGGCTGAGATTCAGGCCTGCCTGCCTGCCTCTGAAGGGCACCTCAAATGCTGCCTGATGCTCACAAGCCCCTGCGTCCTAAGCCGAGTGCCGCCATCACCGGGAGACAGGAGCTCCAGAACTGCCTTCCCCACGCCCAAAAGGTGCACTGCTATACCTGCAGGGAGGGAAGGAGAGGTCCCGCAGCCGGCCAAGAAATGCTGGCAGGTGTAGGGAGTTTTTCGGCGTAAGCGTGAGTGGGCACCGCATGAGCTATAAGCTGGGTCCAATCCATCAGGGGTTTGGGTAACACAAACCAGTGTGCTGTGATGCCCTCCAGGGTGGACTGGGCATGATCCAAGGGCACGCCCTGCCTTGCAGAGCCCCTCCTCCCCAACACAAGGAGAGAAGCGGCTCCTCCTCTCCCCCTGGAATGAAGAGGGGCTTGGAGAAGGTGGGGCGGATCTTCAGGGCCTGCGGGATTCCCCCCACCACCTGCATGGGAACAAGGTGGTTGGCGTCAGCAAGGGCTGCAAGATGTGGCAGGAAAGGCTTTCCCAGGGGAAGCGGCTGCCGTCGCCTAGGCACGAGACGAGCTTCTTGCTCCTGGTCTGGTGGACAAAGGAAACCCGGGCAGCCCCCTTCCCGCTGCGCTGCCTGTGCGTGCGAGGACCACCCACGGGAAGGAATTCCGCCAGGGAAGGGGTTGGTGCAAGCCAGAGGGGATGGCGGGGCTCAGGATGTGGGGAGGAAAAGCTCCCCTCGCTCAGGCAGCCCCGGTCCTGCCAAGGTGAGAAACCCAGATCCGAGCCAGGCTGTTTCAGGTGACGGGTGGCCCGGGCAGGGGCCTGCTTGCAAACCCTTCCAAACTGGGGCTAGCCAGAAAATTCTCCACAGAAACGTTTCTGATGCGCAGTCTGGGGAGCCACCCGTGTCGGCCAAGCCGATGTTCGCGGCATGGACTTACCTTGGTGATGACACATGCGCCTCTCCTTTAAGAGGTTTCCATGCTTCTAAAAACGGGGCAGCTGCAGCAGAGGCCTTCCGGCCTGGCGCTTCCTGGGATCCGCTTCCTCCCACTGCAGGGAAGACACCATCCCACCCACAGCTGACGTGCCCCAGCCCGGCCACCAAGCCCCCCGCGGCCAGCTGGGCCAAGGCCCGCCCTCCCCCCAGCACCGTTGCTAGTTCATTGCGCATTGTGCTTAAACAAATTGCTCTTTGTGCTTAGGTCTTTGTCTGCTGCCACCAGGAAGCGTAAGGACACCCGCCAGCGCCTTCTCCTTAACACTGACACAGCATCAAAACACTGCTCTCGGGCAACCGAGCTCAGGGCGCCTCTCCAAACTTCCTATGGATTTGGGGCCAGCGTGCCATGCCACGAAGGCCCAGGCCAAACGCCTGGCAGAGCAGGCTTTGTTGACGCGCGTCCCGACTCAACAGGTGTGGGACCGAAATATTGCTCTAATACTCTTGTGAACATTTCAGATGTAGAGAAGCACAAGTCGGAAACACTCCAGGAAAATGCTAAGACCCGCATTCCACATGGTGGAACTTGGGCTCTGAAGGGACTTTGGTGGCAGCATGAACATTAATGGGGTATTTTCTACTTCAGAAAGAGAGAGAGAGAGAGAGAGAGAGAGAAAGAAAAGGAGAGTCTCAAAAAGAACCCAAAAGGCACAGCACTATCACTTCACATGGGTTTTCTGATAAGCTCGTGTTGTTTGTCCTTACAACGCTACATCCCTAGATAATTGTCCAAATATACAAAGCCTAAGAAATCAATGCAATGCCACACCGTTAACTCCAAGTCCAGTTGCCTCGTTCAAAACAGAAACGCAACTAAGGGCAGCTTATAACAACTTTCTCCAGTGATCAACTTCTCCCCAAGTTTCCTTGTGAGGCGCCACTGAGTTGGCCACACAGCCCGGGGTCTTCCCCCAGACCACTCCCCCGGGCTCCCTCTGCAGAGGTTCAGGGGAGCTCCCTAGTTCCACAGGAGTCCAGACATGGCTCCGGCACTCATCCTTGTCAAAGAGCCGCGGATTCGTCGTGGTGGCTGCAACGATGGGGAATGTCCTGGGCGAAGTCGCCGGCCAAGAGAAGGAAGCGCTGGGAATTCTGAGGATCGTCCACAGTCAAGTTGGCCATCGGCGGCTCGGAGACGGGAAACGGTCCCCAGCTGCTCGAACGCCATCCCTCGTCCGCGCCAAGTTCCCATGAAAAGTGTATTGCTTTTATTGCCAAGAAGTACGGCTTGTCCCAGAGCTGTTCCTCTCCCGCGGCTCTGCGGGGCGGCAGAAGGCCCGCCACCTTGGGGGGGTGGCATGCCCCTCCCCTCGCGGTGCGCCCCTTCCTTCGTTTCCCTGCGGCACAGCCGTTCCCCCACAGTAGCGATCGGGAGGGCCCGCAGATCCACCCGGGAAGGTCAAGAGTTGGAAAATCAGCCGTGAACTCGAGGGGGCGAATGGGAAAGGGGATCCACGCACACCGATGTCCTTCGCGCCGGCCCACCCGCCTCGCACCCGGAGCGCCCGGCCCCGCTAGTTCACCAGGACGTAGCCGCCGTGCTGCGGGTCCACCGTCTCCATCATCTCGCAGTCGAAGAGGCCCGGCAACTCCGCCAGGCCCAGCGCCTCGTAGCTAGGCTGGGGCCCGGGAGAGTCCGAGCCCCTGTGCTGGGGGGACCCCGTGCCCCCGCCCGGCGGCGCCGGCTCCAGGCCATATGGCCCCTGGCAGACGCGCTCCGGCTCTGGCGGGGCGCCGGCCGGCAGCTCCCCGCTCCGGTAGGGGTAGGGCGGCGGGGGCGGCTGCACGGGGGGCTGCGGCGGCAGCTGGGGCGGGCCGTGGATGGGTGGCGGGGAGGGCCGGTCGAGCGGCAGCTTCTGGTACTGGCCGAGGAATGGGTCGAGCTGCATCTGCTCCGCAGAGGGCTCCATGACGGGGCTCAGCGGCGGCGCCAGGCCGAACTGGGGAGCGGGTGCCGGCGGTGGCGGCTCCTCCGGGCAGGGAAGGGGCAGCCGGCTGGGCCCAGGGAAGGCGCCCTCCGCGATCTGCATCTGGTTGAAGTAGGCCTGCAGCTGGGACTGCTTCTGCAGGAAGAGCCGCTTCTGCTGCAGCCTGGACAAGCGAGAAACCGGCCGGCCGTGAGCTCCTGCCCAGGGCCCCCGTGGCCCCGCCAGAGGCAAGGGCTGCAGCCGCACCGGCCGTGCGAGGAAGAGCCGGCCCCCCGCCCGCCTGGACTTCGTAGGGACCCACTCAACGGTTGCCCCCAACCGTGCCAACTCCAGGTCTCCGATTTGGCAGCTGGCCTCCCAAAGGACCCCCGCTATGCGCTCTGCATTTCCTCTGGATCTGCCTCTGCCCTGCCCTGCCCTGCCTTCGAGCAGCTGGCGGGAGCTGCCAAACGGACATCAAGCCAGGAGCAGAACTGGCCACCAGCCCCTGCACCTATTTCAGGACTGCCCAACACTAAAAAAAAAGCATTTCCATTTTTTGAGCAGGGTTTCCTCCTTATCGGGGAAACCGAGAGCAACCACCACCACCACAACAGCCACGGCAACAAGCACCACACCACAACCACAACCGCTTTTGCAGTTTTATTCAGCACACACTTTAAAGCAAAGTTTAAAAGCCAACGAGTATGCAAGGGAGCGTAAGGAAGCCTTGGAAGTACCTGCCCACCCCCGTCCCCGAAACTCCCTCTAACGCTTCGAGGGCCAAGGCTGCACAGCTGGAGGGGGCAGGAGGGAGCTGGGAACCGGACGGGAGCCCCTTGGCTGCTCCCCGTTCAGTTCTGGGCAGGGGAAGCTTAACGCTTTTGTCTCCGATGGCCTTTTGGGGCTCCTGCCACTCTGGAAGGAAGGAGCCACTCTGCAAAGGTCTTTTCAAGGACGCACCGGGGAGTGGTGGGAAGAGGGGACAGCGCAGGGCCACGCGGGCTGGGGCTGATGGAAATGTAGTTCAGTACATCTGAGGGCACTGGGTTGGGGCGACTGGCAGGCTGCGCCCGCTCTGGGCCTTGAAGGCTGCCCAAAGATTGCCCCCCTTGAGCTTTGGAGGCGCCCTGCTCCCCTCCGTGCAGGTGAGCTGCGGCAGCGCCGCCCCCCGCCCCGCTCACCTGTGCTCCTGCAACTGCTGCTCGAGGCTCCGGGGAAGCTCCTTGCAGAAGACCTGGCAGGCGTTCTGGGCCTTGGAGAGCAGGGTTGGCTTCTGCAAGAAGGGCGAGAGAGAGGCGTTCTTCTGCGGCCCCGTGCGTTGCGCGTCGCACCTCTGCCGAAGGGCTCAGGCTTGGCAGGGCTCCACCTGGCGGGCTGCCATGCCCGTGCCCAAGCTCACGACTGCCCGCTGCCAGCTCCCGGCCTAGGCCGGCGCGGGCCAGGCCAAGCCGAGCCGAGCGGCCACGAGAGCCCTGCACGGCCGGCCACCATGGCCCGGCCGGCCCTACCACCTGAGAGGAGGAGCGGGGGCCCCGTACCTGGAGCCTGTGCTGCAAATACTGTGTCTCCAGGCTCTGCCGCCTGGAGAGCGGCTGGGGGCGCAGGCCGTTGGGGAACGCGGCATCATCCTCCTGCTGCTGGGACGCCTCTTCCTGGGGAGGGAAAGGCGGGCGACAGGTGAGCGGGCGGTGGAGCCCCAGACTGGCGGAAGCACAGCCCAGGAGGGGGCCAGTACGGGCTGGCGTGGAGGCGGGGGCCAAGCGGGAGGGAGGGAGCCCTGCTCTTCCGTTCCCCCAGGGACAAGCTGCAAAGGGGTCTTGCGGTTCCCAGGTGCCGCCGTCACACGCACAGCCCCCGTGCCAGGCTGTGCTATGGAAGGGGCCTTCCAGAGAAGCAGTGGTCCATGCCCCAGCCCGTGGACACCTCCCCCTCCCCAGAGAGGGCCCTCCCCTCGCCGGCCCACTAGCCCCTGCTCCTCACACTGCCGCCGGCACCCTGTTCCAACCCTGCACCCGGGGCCCAAAGATCCCGGACGCCTCCTCTCCACAACACTACAGAGAAGTGTCTGGCCCAGCTTCTGCACTGGGGATTCAGTGGCCCAGCTGCCTCGCCCTCCCGCCAGGCCTCCGCGTGCGTCTTGCGCCCTACCTGCTGGGGGCCGCCCCCAAAGTCCTGCAGGGGCGGAGAGGCAAACCCCAGCGGGGGCGCCTCCTCCGACCGCATCTGCTCGTACAGTAGCTGCACCTTGTTCAGCTCCAGGATGCCTTTGGTCCGGGCCAGGTTCTGGAGGTGCTGCCGGAATGCCACAATCCCTGGATCGAGATCGAGAGCCACGTCGAGAAGAGCACACTCCGAGCATGGAAGTGCAGGATCTGCCCGGGGCTTTGGCTCGGCTCCTGCACGGCTCTTCACGCATCCCCAGGGCAGCCACAACATTCATTTAAAACATGGACATAAAACACCAAAAGCTCATGCAGGGAATGGTGGCAGTGAAGACTCGGGCGACCGCCCTGCACGTCCTGTGCGGTTAGTTTCCACTGAACACTGAGCTGGACTTGCTTCGGAGTAGAGATGCCCAAAGCTGCACTGTGGGGCACATCAGTGGGAGTGGGAGCTGGGTGCAGGACCCCCGCAGAAGTTCTGCTATCCCCCCCACCCCCGCCTTCAAAGAGGAAACTCTGCACGGCACGAAGCACACAGACGTCGGCATACGAGGCGTACGGAGGGTCGGCGTGCAAGGAAAAGTCTCGGATGGGTGACTCAGAGAGATGAGCAGCTCCGGACAAAACTGAGGGTGCCCCAGTGAACGCAGGGGGCACGTCTTGCCGCCCGTCATGCTTGGAGCGATGATGGACCGACACCAGAGGGTGAGGTGCGAATGCGCACCTGGGGCAGGTGACAACCACCCTGAGAACCTCCCACAGCCTGTTGCGACACACGACCCCCCCGCCCCAGGTGGGCGGGTGGTGCACAGGTGCCATGCGACTGCCCCGACCTGCTGCTGGCCGTTACCTTGCGTCAGAGACGTGTCCGAAGCCCTGCGCCCCTCTCGGAAGCTGACGGGAGAGCGGTTGTGGAGCTCCCGCCGGTGGGAGGCCAGGGCCTGCATGGCTGGGTTGGCGGGCCGCAGGCCGATGAACGGGGAGGCCATCCGCGGAGCCGGCTGGTTGGCCAGCACCATTTCCTTCAGGGAAGGGGTGTCCTCCAGGAAGTTCAAGTCCCTCTGGATGGACCCCATATCATACTCGGAGTCGACGCTGCTCAAAGACTGGTTCTCGTCCACGGAGAAGACCTTCCCTTTAGAACCCGGAAAAATCCACCGTGAATGGAAGAAAGGGCGACCCAGCTCTGCAGCCGGCAGGCAGCCACCTCCAATCCGGGACCCTCCACTGGGCTGGGCTACAACTCCCACCAACCTCAGCCAGTGAGGAGAGTGGTGGCCCAACACAGCTGCAGGGGTCCAGGTTCTTCTCCCATCTGGCATCCTTACTTTCAGATTTAAGATGCTTCAGGAAATGGGACTAACTTCGGGGGGGGGGTTGTTTAGGGGGCTGTACCAGATGCCAAGAGCGCGCTGTACTGCCCCCGTTTCAGCAACACGAGCCCGGCTCCTCCCCAGCAGAGCCAAGATATGATGCTCACTCGGAGGGGGGCGAGGCCAGCTTGCTGCGAGGACCATGGCCCAGCCCCCAGGGCCCTGCGCAGTGCCCCGCGGGAGACAGGGCTTTCTGGACTAGCGGACCCCTGCTTGAGAGGCTGGCCTTGGGGAACCCCCCGCTGCCGCCTCAAGGCCAGAAGCTGCTGCCCAAGCCGCGATCCCGCGTTCACGGCGCTGGCAAAACATCAAGCTGGCGTGCCGAGACTCTGCCACGCAGAGGCCCAAGCTTCGTTTGGGATACTCACGCAGGCAGTGCGGGGTTCTGGACTGCCCACACACCGCTGGTGGCAATCGCTCCCTGGAAGCTTAATGATGGGCCTTGGAACATCCAGGTCAAATTAGCTGCCGTCTCTGGGCTTCAGCCCCTCCGCTGCAGCACCGAGGCATGGAGGCTTTTGCCCGTGGCTGCGCGAGGAACCCGCTGCATGTCCCAGCCCGAGAGGATGTGCCCAGAATGGCCGTGAGCACCTAAGCGCCCCCCCCCCCCGCCACTGTGAAGGTGCTTTGCTCCGAGGCTGCCTGTGTTTTCGGTGGAAGGGCAGAGGTCTCTCCCTGCAGCCAGCAAGCGTGCCTTTGCACACAACTCGCAAGAACCAAGGAGCTCCCAGTGCAGGGAGGGGCAGCGGGCTCCTCCTGTTTGCACAGGAAGGACTGAGAGGGCTTTTCTTTGGGGCTTTTCCACCGGCTGCCGGTGCCCTCGAGTGCTGGCAAGCGGGAGGCTCGTTCACGGATACTGTTTGCTCTTCCCAGCCTTTACAAACTGTCATGAGGTGGCTTGGCAAAGCGGGCCGAAGCCATCTGCGCGCTTCTCCCCTCATCTTCCACAAAGCAAGCGCACTGCCAGCTCCCAGGGAGCGAAACGCACACGGGCGGGGAAGCTCAGCAGGACACCAAATAGAGCCAGAAGCCTCTTGTCTGCCCCGGTGTCCTGAGCCGCCTGGAAGCCCCGTGCAGCCCCTGCTTCACTTCGCTTCGGAGACGCCATGGCCGTGACCGGCCCAGGAGAAAGCAAGCCTGCCCGAGGGCAACGTCGGACCAGACGCCAGGAGCCGACCCTCGGCACTGCCCTGCCCGCGGCCCCGCTCCCGTACCTGCTCCCGGCATGACGAGCAGCTGATTGGTGACCTCTGCCAGGGTGTGGCGCCTCTTCCCGCAGCGAGTGGCTTGCAGCGCTGCAAACGCCTGCGCAGGATCCTCTTCGGACTCCCCCTCGGCTTCAATGCCTTCGTCGATGGAGGTCTCCATCATGCTGCTCGGCAGAGACTGGCAGCCCTTCCTCCCCACCACCGGGGGAACGGGGTCTAAGAGGCACCCATTCACCTAGGGCCGGAACAGAAAGGGGCACACCGTGGTCAATGAACCTGTGGGCAGAGGCGCCCCGACATCCGGCACGCTTGTGATGGAGTGTTTGGAAAGGAAAACAGCAAGGACAGAGGCGGCTGAAAAGGCTGCTTGTTGAAAACTCGAGATCAGAGCTGAGAAGGAGAACCGGGAACAAAAATGGGCGAGGGCACCTTTCTGAAGGACCACTTCCTCTTGGTGGGAACGGCAGCTCCTCAGGTTCAGCACAGCCTTCCCACTCCACAGCCCAGACAGACGACAGAAGCCAGTCCAGTGTCAGCTGCCTCTCTCCATTCCCGGGGACCTGCCTGGCAACTGCAACGCATTTTTATTTATTTTTTTGCTACTTCGGGGCTGCCTCACTATAGGAACGGCCATGCGCATCTCCTCCGTGCTAGCTCAGGATCCCCACCCGGCTGAATGCAAACCAGAGCACCTTCCTCTGGGGAACTACAGGCCGGAATGCGAGGGATGGGAGGCTCTTGTTCAGCCAGACGAAGGCCAGCGGGGCCGTGATCCTGCCCAATCGGCCTGGCACAGGAGGGGCTCCCCAGGAGTGTTGCTCTTACAATAAACATGCCCCCCCCCCCCGCAACCGGCCCATGAGTGACCTTGCTTCTCTTGACTAACTCCCAGTCATTTCAGCAGCTGTTTCTGAATTCCATCAAGAAAGCTGTCTCATGAGATCAGCTTCAAAATTAGTTAATTGCCAAGCCGCTGGCTGTGGGCCAAGTGCCCACTCACCTAAGAGTTTGCACGGAGGCCTCAAAACCTGTAGGAGTTTCTTCCTGTTTACCGTACGGGAAGTCTCCTCAGCAGCGCCCCAGTGGGGGGGGGGGCAGTCCCAGGGAGCAGGGCCCCAACGGAAAAGCTAATGCCTATCTCTAAAACTCAAAGCAGAGCATTCAGCACAGGGGAGGACTCGTGTCGGCTTTGAGCCTCCCGGGCTTGTCCTTCCGGCGTCTGGGGAATGCCAGGTGAATTGCACAAGTGAAGACTCCAGTCACAAATCCGTACTCGGAGGAACAGCTCTGCACACGAGAAAGCGAAAATGTTGCGTGCACACGGCTGGAGGGGAGCTTCTTGTGTGCTGCTCTATGAATTCCAGAAATACCCGTTGGGCTGCTCCGGCGCTTGAGTTTGACGCAAGGGATGGTGACGCGAAAGGACACGCTCTCTAGACTCTTCAGCCGTTTTCACACATCCTGCTAAGCCTCCCTGCCACGAGCCACGCTGTGGCGGTTGTTTGCGAACAACCTACGATGCAGACAACCGGGCTCACTGTGGCAGATTCCTCCTCTCCTTCCGCTGTCCGGTGCCTTTTCTGGCTGTGCTATTCTCGCCGCCTTCCTCCCTGCTCCAATCAGGACCCCTTTTCATTTCTCCCTGCTTTCAAAAAAGTTTGGAGCCTCACTGAATGCACAGTTTAAATCTAATTTAGTTCTTTGGCTCCAGAAATCTGGCCAATTGCGATTGTAATTAAAAATAAGATACAATAATTTCTGCTTGTCTTTACAAGTGTGCTTTTCTGGCCATCCCATAGGAAGCCTCGCCTGTCCAAGTGCCTTGCATGTTGCAGCAGTTCAGGGGAGTCCCAGAGTGGCAGCGTATGTGCAAACCAACAAGACGAGCTTGTGCATTGTTGCCCAGGGCCAACTGCAAAGCTGTCAGTCGAAAAGAAGGGGACAGAGGGGGCCAAGGGGCAAAAGAAGGTGCACCAAGTGGGTGGGGATAACTCCTCCCACCAAGCAATGGGACCCTTTCACAGTTAAGCATTGAACCCCTCTCTTCCAGCACTTCCCGAAATTGCCAGCTCTTCCAGAAAAGGGAGATGGTCTCTCCCACTCTTTCTGCAGCTCCTTTTCGGAGGCACCCTCATGGATGGTTGTGCCAGGAACATCCGGTCTTTCGGTGCAGGATGCAAAATACTCTGTCTCTAGGTTTCAATATGATGCATAGCTGTACCACAAGCTAGCTTGACAAGTCACCTCTGCTAAGCTGGTAAGGCATGGACCTGCAAACTGGATGAGGAACAACATGTGGGAGCTGAGAACAGGGGATAGCTCCTCTCCGCTCCTCTCCTCTCTGCTCCTCTCCTCTCCTTTTGCTTTGCACACCCAGGTCTAACCAAGGGTTTATTTTTAAAAAAGCCACCTTGTTCCTGAAATCACTCTTTGCCTATTCCTTAGGCCTTGAAGAATGCCCCCCTTCATAGGAGGGGCAGCCCTCCTGCCTGAAAAAGGACTTGGCGATGCCAGATCCAAGACACGGATGGCTCTAGGCTTTGGAGAAGGACCACAAGCATGGCAACCAAAGCCAAGGTGACTTCCACCCTGCACTTGCCTTTGACCCACAAAGGGCTTTTTTCTCTTTATACCGAGAAGCTGCCGTGCAAAGAGGAGGAGGCTTTTGTCAGCTCAAAGAGAGGAGCCCCTTCTCAAGACGAGCAAAAGGAAGAGCGGGCTCGGAGCACCTCAGCGTGGAGGCAGAGCTGCAAGTCGGTGCATGCAGAGACATCTCTGGGGAAAGCTGCTTGCTTGGCTGTCGTAAGAGCAGGGAGCAAAGCCAAGACGCACCAGCCCCCTGGTGATGGTGACGGTGAGAAATGCGGGACGCAGCTTCAAGGCCTGCCTGCGAGATGGGCTTTGACAACCGAGCGCAGAAGAAAAACAGGTTTAAGGCAACACCTCCTGCAAGAGCAGGTCTCGGTATTTTAAGTAACACGGCTGCAGAGTGAGAGGGCGAGCACCTTCTCCCCAACGGCAAAGTGGCATTTATCTCGAAACGCTGCAGCTGCCGGCTCAGCGGTGGGGCTGTCTTCTGTTAGGCAGACCCCTTGCTGGAGTGCCAAGCCAACTGCAAAATGTTCGTAGCTGGCACAGCGCTACCGCCTGCATCACAGCGGCACCGAGGTATGTGCTAGCAGCAGGACTGGTTAAGCAGCAGTCGGAGGCCCGGGCAACTCGGCGAAGTCAGCAGAAGCGACAAAGAGCGATCAATCTGGCGAAGCAGAGCCCCTGCTGAAGGCAGGTTACTTTCCAGAACCTTTGTGCAGAGCTGCAAGCAAGCAACGGACCCCCGGCAGCTGTTATCCAGCGAAACTGGGTGTGATGACTTCATGCTCTCTGGGTGCCTTTGCGAGGCCAAGCGCTGATGCTCGCTTTTGTTTTAGCGCGCCCGCCCGGAGCTGGCTGTGAGGGATGTGGCCCTCTCAATCAGCTCGCGGGGGGGAAAACTGAAAGTAAAAGCACACAAAAATAAAGGAAATGATTATAAGCCTCTGTTGGGGCATCTCTGGCGAATGGCAGGGAGCTAGGCAGGTCAAGTACACACTTCTCTTCCCTAAATGGAGACGCTTCCCATACTGGCAATCAGTGGTGTAATTTGAATCAGAAAGAATAAAACATGCCCATGTCAATGAGGCAGTGAATATGCAAGAGCAGGACGAGTGGCGCACTGCCACGCGATATGAACGTGCTCTTGGCCTATTTCGTGCTCTCGCATCCAGAACTCTGGAACCTTTCCCTCCTGCCAGCTCACATACATCCTAATTATTCCCCACTTCCCTTCAGGACCCGTCGCCACAGAACTCCAAGCTTGATGTGTGAACTTGCAAAGCTCATTGGAGCAACTGCCTGTACAAGTTTTCCAGTGAAAGCGACAGGAAGTCAGACCTACTGCTGAACTGGGGCTCTTGTCAGTGCCTTGGGAATTCTAGTTGCAGGCTGGGAGAGAAAACAAGAGATGGCATAAAGGGCAGACGGCTTCTAATATTTTTGACAACTTGAAGGCCCTGCCAAAGACGCTGCTCCCCACGAACAGAACCAAAGGTGCACACTAATAAGGTGGGTGCAATTACAGCTCCGTGCCGTGTGCCAGGTTTCCACCCTCTCACCATGTAAACAAGCAGCAAAACAACCGCAATTACGGCTGGAAAGTTAACACGGAAGTTCTCAGCTCAAGGGAAGCGCGAGGGCCAGTCACTTTCAGAGCAGCATTTCTGCAAGGTGTCAAGCTCTTCCAAACACGTCTGGCCTCCGCAGCACGGCTGTTTGCACAAGATGGGAAGGCAAATAAACCGCACGCTGCCTCGTTACCTGTGCGACAGGGCCACCCTGTTCGGCAAACCTGACAAGGTGGGCAGTGAGGACGGCCTGCAAGCCACTCCCCAGCCGTGGGGTGGCTCTAGGGCGCCAGCTGATCTGCAAACTCCCCCCCCTCCATTCCTGTTCCTGTCATTAGTGAATATGGAAATGAGGTGCACACAACCAGCACAAGCGGGCAGGGGAAAAGATGCTGTTGTGGCTGCATTTGTGTGGTCTGGGGAGGAAGGAAAATAACCCGACAGCATCCTTTCCAGCAGAAGCAAACCTTGTAGCATCTTAAGACACTGGCTGAAGCTGCAATGAATCTTTCGATTTTTAAGCCAGCCTTGCTGTCAGCTACTAAATATCAGTAGCCAGAAGCTCTTCCCACTTTATCTGCCCTTTACTCCTAAAGAAAGCTTCCTCGTACAAATAAAAAACAAGGCCAGGAATAGAACTGAAGCTGCAGGGAGCCCGGGAGGAAGGGAAGGAAAGGCGGCCTCGAGGGGTTTGCTATGCTAGCCAAATGGCTACGAGGGGCGGCACTCGTCTCCGTTTCTGAGGCCCTGAGCCAGCGCTGTCCGAAGATGCTCCTGTGGTCACGTGGCCAACATGACGTCACGGAGCGCTGTTACCTTCCCACTGAGGTGGTACCTATTTATCTACTTGCATGACACTGAGGCCCCGTCGGTGAGGGCGTTCAAGGACAGGCTGGACGTGCACATGGTGGGCATGTTGTGAGCGGAGCCGGCTGGTGCCGGAGGTCAGACTAGATGGCCCGGGAGACCCCTTCTGACTCGCTCTGTTTCTATGTTTCTATGACATCCTTCCAAACTGCTAGGTGTCCTCCAGATGAGTTCGTAAGAAAAAAGCGGGCTCTAAATCAAATAAACAAACACAGCACCATTCCTCTTTTGGCCACCTGTCCTGCTTGCGGGCTTCCCAGAGGCAGCTGCTTGGCCACTGTGAGAAGCAGGATCTGATCCAGCAGGGCTCTTTCAGAAAGGTACTCAGAGGTAGAGCCCACTTCGCTCAGAGCCCATCTGCCTGGGCATTACTGCCAGGCTCCCTAGCAGATCCATTAAGGTCAAGCGCACCCCCATCTCGAACAGGCCAACTCCTCAGTCAACTGTAATGCCAGCCACCTGGACCACCCGACAACTGTAGGGAAAAATGGCAACTCTCCCGTGCCAACCGCCAGAAATTAGCACTAAGCTGTTCCTGTTATTTATTTCTTTTTAAAATTTAAATGCCACCCACTAGCCAAAAAGGATTCTCTAGGTGGCTGGCTTACAATAAAATCGATAAATACAAACACTCAACACAACAACAAGAAAACCCATTGTGATAACATCACAGTGATTTTAAACAATTAAACAGTATAATTGGATCAAGAGGGCAGGACAACGAAGTATCACCATAAATACCAGATCTCAAATCCATTAAAATGCTCAGAGAAGCGAAGCTTCTTCACCTGGTGTAGGAATGACAACGATGAGAGGTCCAGGAGAATCGACAGGGTCATGCTCCCCCGTCCCTCTTCCAGCAGAGGTCACTGCACAGGGTGACCAAGGCAGTCTCTGTCCCAAATCCCAGCCCAAAACCCAACTGAGATGCATCTAGAACTGCCCCGCTGGGCAGGACCTCAGGAGCGGCAGCATCCTGGGAGACTCGAGATACAAGATACGGCATTCAGGAAATGCGCAAACATACCTTTGGTATGTCAATTCTCTCTTCCTCCATGAAAGCTGATTCTGCATGGCAGGGGGAAGTGGGGAAGGAGAACGCTTCTGCAGCAGAACTAGGAGGGAGGCCGGGAGACCTCAGCAGCCTTACGTTCTGGGGACGCAAGTTCACGGGTGCGACTGCAGCCTGGGCCTGTGAGGAGGAGGAGGAGGAGGAGGAAAATGTGAGCAGCTACCATGCATGGAAAACACACGTGGAACCAAGGGCGGAAGACTGGGTATGGAGGAGAGGCAGAGGAGAGCACCTGGTGGTGGTGGAGGAGAGGGAAACGACCCAAACCTCAAGGCAGAGAAGCCGGCACCGAGATTCCACAAGAGGGTCAGGCAGGAACAGGCAGGAAGTCGCTGACTCTGCCCCTGCCACTTCTGTGTGAGGCAGGATGGGCCCCCCATTCCACTGAGAACTGCCCACAGGCAGGCCTGCCTTTTGGGCTTTGCATGCCCGACCCCCAAGGAGGCCTGCAGGAGGCTGGGAAGAACGAAGGGCTAAAGCGAGGCTGCCCCCATTATTCCCAGCGTGTGCTGGCTAATGCTCATTATACCGGCGTGCTGCTGATGACAGAAGAGTCGGAGGCAGTGCGAGGCCTGCCGGCAAGGAGATGGCACACCTCCGGCGTTAACCGCCGGGGCGCGCGACAGACCCCAAGCCTGGAGGTGGCTTCCTGGGCCCCGCCCTGCACTCTTGCTTTCTCCAACCTAAAGCAAAGGCCACAGACACACGCATGGTTGTCTGGGGGCTCCGACGTACTATCTGCTCTCGCCTCCTCCAGAGTCAAGGCATCTTTTTTACGGAAGCAAAGCGGAGGCTGCCCAACATTTTGCTCCTAAGTCCGTGTGAGTCACACAAAGCTGAGAAGCAACCACATCTGGACTGCGGCGCAGGGACAGCGGGAACGCCACGATGAATAAATGCTCCCCAGAGCGACGCAGCCAGCCGGTTGCATCCGGGAGCCTGAAGGCGGTTTAACAGCCGGATTGCTTCCGGACCACCAGTTGGCTCAGGACCAAGCAGTGGTGGGCCAGTGCGTACCCTGGAGTGCCAAACAACTCCCGGCACATCCCAGCAGGCCTTATGGTGACCCTGCCGGACAAGTATTTTCTCTAGACTAGGGCGGATCAGGGCAGGGAGAGGGAAGCCGCGCGCAAGAGGCTAACACTACTTATCTGGGGACGGCTTCCAAGCTCACAATCAAAACTGACACACCAGGGCTCACTAGAAAGGCACAAACACAACATCTTGCATTTACCCACATTTTGCTGCTTGCCAGAATGACAAAATCATCAGGAAAAGTACCTGGGCAGCAGCCTGGGTCTCGCTTACTAATTTTCTTCTCGCTGCAGCAGGCAGGAAACGAGGCAGGTTTAGAAGTGAGTTGCCAGGATACCACCCCCTCCCACCACCACCACAAAAAAGACTCTCCCTCTCCCAGCGAACTGAAATGGGGGGATCTTCCTTTGCTCCTTTTATTCATTAGCGTAAAAGAACAGACAGTTGAGAGATGCTCAGACTAGGAACTGTCGCTGCTGCTTAACAGGTATCCCCCGACTGTACAACTCTCTGTATTTTTACCATCTCAAAAGCACACATAATCTAGCTGGGAAACTCTGGGTGGATGATGCCTTGCACAAAGGCCTTTACCTGATGCCGAGTCTGTGGGGGTTTATCGCCCTAGGGAGTGCGATTCCACATCCAGGGACCTGCAATGGGTCAGAGCAGATCCCTGGGTGCAAACAGCCAAGTCCCGCGACCGAAACGTCAAGGGAGGCGTTGGGATTTGAAACAGGGCCCACTGGGTGGGCAGAAAAGCTTTGGCAGCTGAATGAGGGCTCGTGTGTTGCGGTGCAGCGGCAAAGCACCTGCTCTGCGTGTGGAAGGATTCTGCTCCAGTCCTCAGCAGCTCCAGGTAGGCCTGAGGAAGACCGAAATCCTGGAGTGCCCCGGCCCGCTAGCCCTGCCTCACGCCAGCGTTACCTTGGCCATGGTTTGCTCGGCGATGGTGCTCGGCCGCCGCTGACGGGAATCCAGGCGTTGCTCCACGGGGAAGCTGCTGCGGTGCGATTTGAGCCTCTCTATGAGCAAGTAATAGATGGCCGCGAAGTGGTTGTAGCTCTTGTTTTGCAGGGACTGAGGAGAGAACAAGGACCCTCCCGTCAGGCGGGAGTGCGATCGTCTTCCATGTCTCCTCTAGGCACAGGAGGCCGTGACAACCATGCGCCCACGCGGCTGCGCAAAGCAACTTTCTGCTGGAGGACCCGTGTGTGTGTGTGTGTGTGTGTGTGTGTGTGATTTCTTCCTTTCTCTGGGGTCGAAGGGTGCTGCATATTTGTGCTTGGGAGCTGCTTCCACAGAGATGCGATAAGGCAGCGAACGGGAGACGGGCGCTGCTTTTCCCAGCACTGCGTCCCTAGCGCTCTTCTGTGCAGCTCTGTTTCCACGAACCGCACCCTGAAGTGTGCTGGTTGGACCAAGCCAGAAAGATGCTTTCTGGCCCCTTCCAGCTCTGCATTCTCCAACCTGCCTTTGTTCTTTTTGGCGCCAGGCTAAACCCTTTTTATTTTCCTAATATTTTAAGGTCTGATTGTCATTTTAGTATGGGTTTTATTGCTAGAAATCAATTAGGATGCTGCATTCCATTTTGTTTTATTCTGCTTTACTGTCAAACTGTTCCAAGACCTCGATAGTGGACAGTATTTAAACGTTATAAAATAAATAAAAGGGACTGTCAATACTAAGACCTGGGCCTCTTAACATCAGCTTTATGAAAACATCGGTTGCACAGGACAAACCACTGACAACTCGTTTCTGCAGCTCTGCCCACCTTCCGAGTCTGTCCTTGGATCCCCCAAAATCCAGCAAAACACTGCTTTGGCTCGGCACACCAGCTTCTGAGCCATAATGGAAAACGGAGCCCCAAGAAAAGGGAGGCCCGGAGTTCAGCTCCCTGCCCCGCAGCTTTCTAGCAGGAAGCGTTAATACTGCAGACTCCACACTGCCTAAAAATATCGGCCGTTCTGAAGGAAGTGATCACAGCGGCTCCTCAGGGAGCGCTTCAGCATTATTTCTGGTAAGAGGCTTGATTTGGAATCTTAGCTGAGAAACTAGAAATAAAGAGGCAACCGCTTGCTTCTCTGTTTCTCCATCAAATCTCACATTTCAGAAGCTTAAAACAGAAGGGAGGTTTTATTTCCTGGTTTGCTCTTCTTGTTACCCTCACTGTCTCTCAAAACTTGCCAGTAAATATAATGTGTGACTGGACAGGACAGCCCAGACATTTCCCCTGTGGAATATAGGGAAGCTCTCCAGTGAAGATTCAAGCAAACAAAACATGTTCTTCAAACGATATACGGAGCAAGATTCTGACTTCTAAAAAAAGACCTGCAATATTTTAAAGTACTTTTTGTCTGGTCCATTTGAAATGGCAAACATATGAAACTCGGTGGGGTGGAGGGAGGTTCTACAAATTGGTGAGTACTCACTGGTTTGATCAATACTGATCTCTGTCCAGAGTTCATACATGCTGTGCTCTGCAGAAGAGTCAGCACCGCCATCACAGGATTTCGCATGCTGCCTTTGCCCCAAACAGAGCGCAGAGCAGCTTACAGAATCAGTAAAACTAGTGCCAGCAAACCAATGCTGAAAGCCCATTTTTGCGATAAACAGCCGCAACCATGCAGCTTACAAGCACCGAAACAAGCCATAAGGAGTCCAGTAAGGTCCTTCTTATCATACCGTAAAGTACGCTTGGCGCAGGCTAACTGAACCTCCCTGCGAGCAATCCCACACATGGGGGGCCACCTCTGGGCACGGCCTGTGGTGACTCCGGCTAAGCAACGCATCTGCTACTGTCCCGGAGGCGCATGCTGGAAGAGTCCCACCGCTTTTTGTCCCAGGATGCTTTGACAAAAGCACCGGGATCAGGCGTCGTGGGATCCGCTTTAACTTCCAGCGCCTCTGAGGAGAGCCAGCTGTGGTGTCCCCCTGCAGGGAGCCCCCTCCCTCCGCCCCAGCGGCCGCTCTACCTCCACGGTTTTCTGCTGGTCTATTCCCAAGCTGTGCATCAGCCGCAGCACTTGTTCGTTGTACTCGCCGATCGAGGGCTCGTTCTCCTGGCCTTGCGGATAGAGAGCAGGCCTTTGCACGGGGACCTCTGCCAGCATCCACTTGTGCTCCTTGATCTGAGCGATCGTCAGCCTCTTGGACGGGTCCAGGACCAGCATCCTCCGGATGAGATGCTCACATTCTGCGTGGACAAGGAAGGGCGGAAAAGACAGTCTGACGGAGCTCACACGGAATGTCGCGGGGAGCCCAACGCCTATTGATACAGGCTGTTAGCGACAGCACACGGTCTTGTAAGGCGTGGCTGGAAGCAAAAATACCCTTGAAACCTAGGACTGCAATTTGTCCAAAGGACCCAATTCACTTCTTACAGGGGAGCGACTGGGGAGAAGAGTGCAAGTACTTCTAACGACAAGCACCATACAAGTAGTAGCAATAACAATACTTGGCACTCATGGGGACAGCTGATAAAGCGTGCATTTGCAATGCCCCATGAACTCTCAGCACTGAGACAGAAAATATCTGCATTTTAAAGGTGATGGATGCAATCATACAGATGGACAACGTACGTGGCACGGCAGGCTGCCTTATTCCATAATCCCAGCCTCATGGTCAGGAATATGTGCATTCTGGGTGACTTCACAGGTTAACCATAAACCAGCACTTGGCCTGATGTGCCAAACAGTAATGCCCTCCCTCCCTCCCTCCTTTTCCTGCACAGATAGGAAGAAGAGCAAAGAAGGATTTAGTTTCGCTTTATCAGATTTCTTATGCATGACTCAGACACCGTGGTTTAAAATAAACTCCAGTCAACTGCTAAACAAACCGACTTCAAACCCTAGATTGCTTTTGTGGTTTGTTTATTAAAGCAGAGTTTATTTAAACTACAATTCCTGGTCTATGCATAGAGAAAGCCAGGAATGTGCTGAAATGAAGGAACTAGAGCCTGGATTATTTCTCCCACTGCTCACATGGAAGGCGAGGGGAGCCCAGTACCTCGTGCGATTCATTCCTTCCCATGCACGTGGCCCTAAATTACTGTTTGCTCAAACGTAGGACACAGCCCCACTCAGACTCTCTTTCCAGCATCCTGGAGTGCGACCCAAGCAGTTTCCTCTTTGGTTCCCCATTCCGGTCAGGCATCCTCTGTCATTCTGAGCCCTGCATGGTTGCTGGAAACCACTGTGGTCTTTGCGGAGCTTTTATGGGGAACTCGGGGAAGTTCCTGAGAAGATGTTTTGCTCTGTCCATGTGCACACCTGCCTTGCACCAAGACAAGCTTTTTTTCATCGTGCACCTCATTCCCATAGCAAGCTGGACTCTCCCATCCACCCCCCTCACCTCACGTAAAGAAGGAGCCAGGTGCGAGCCGCCACTCGGAGGCTTCCATCCCAACGGCTCCCAGGACTACCAGTCAACATGATGTTCTGGTTTTCCCTCCCTGAACCAAAAGATCTCCGAAGCACCGGTATACGAGGATATTACCTTCAGACATGAAATAGGGGATGCGGAATCTTCCTTCCAGAACGCGCTGCCTCAGGGTGGGGAGCGTCGGTCCGTCGAAGGGCAGAGCGCCACAGACTAGCACATACAGAACGACGCCCATGCTCTGGAAAGCAGAAGAGGAGTTCCGGGTTGGCCTTTCAGAACAGGCTGCCATGGCATTCTATCGCCAAAAGATCTTTTTTTCCTCTTTTAACGTCCGAGTGTCTCAAAACACAGGTGTTCCCACCCTCTGGGGACTTCTGCTCCATTGACCACTTGTGGGTTCCATTCTGCCGTCTGGATCTGGCAGTGACAATCTGGCCCCAGTCCTGGACTGCAGGATCGTGACTGCACCTAGAAGAGTTCTTTAGCAGGGCCATGTTTCACACCATTTTCTGGCAGGAAAGTACGCACCTGCGGAATTGGCACCTTCCACAGCAGACTCAACGGAACAGGCTCCTGTTCTGGATACTGTCCTGCCAAAGGGTCTGAGGCACACGCTCTGCAAGGTGAAAACCTTGCAGGAATTTCTGCAGTCTGGGGACTGCAGACAAACAAGACCGTGACCGAGACTGCTCAGGGGGGCTGGGATCAAGAAGCCGCAGCCCCCAAGAAAAAGTAGGCGGAGGCTAAGCTGACCCACTCCGAACTTTGCTTGAATTCTCCCTCGTCAGAGGGCACAAGTCCGCCCCTATGTAGCTCCTGACATGTAAACACTCAGGGGAAGAAATCCCCCGTGAAGGTCACGATAGCAGCTGAAGATCCTGATTCTAAGCAAAGCCCGTTATTGCGTAAGCCCGGGGAACGTGAGGCGAGAGTGGGGGAAGACGCCACGTCAAAGCGTCAGCAACTTCCCAACCGCTGAGCTCAAATTTGAAAGCATGCACATTACAAGCAGCGTGAAGTCAAAGGTTTAACATTTGTCTTGCAGTTTAATGCCACACGGAGACTGTGGCATTGAAGTGTAAAAGCTTGCCCCAATCTGATAGTGTGGTATATGTAGATTTTAAATAGCACTTTCCTTCTTTTAAATGTTCATCTCAGCATGTTTTGGCATCTAGGCTGAATGCGCCTTTGAAGAGTTTTACACCAGAGAGACTGGGGCTTGGGGTTGTGGGGGGCCCATAGAAATCCCGACTTAACAGTGGGGATATCGGGCAGCTTTGCAAAGAGCCAAAGGGTTCCTTTTCAAAGAGACTCCACACTGTGGCGCAAATGCTTTCCTTCTGGTTTTTGCAGTAATCCAGTAGTCTGCGACCTGCACAGGTATCCAGCGCCAGCTTTCTGGCACACCTTCACCGAGCATCCAGGCCAGGTACACAGCTCATGGGGATGCGGCATGCGGCACCTTGTTTGTTAGAAGGTGCTGATTTGAGGCAGAACTTAGCATTCACGTCCACACCTGCCTTGTTGCAAAAGAGAATGGGGACCAAAGCCCAGTTCCGACAAGCAAATCGCACTCCTGGAACTGAATCTACAATACACCCACAGTGGAAATACCCACACCAGATGGGCTGATCCCTCCCATGAACAGGCAGAAATATAAGACCGTCTGATGTGACCGCTCTCCTCACTGTGGGAGGCACGTTCCCGTAACTTCAAGTGCATGTCAAAAAATGCCAGGATATGCATCTGTGCAGTATTTAGCCTGACAAGTCTGAGTCCCCTAAAGCTGGATCCACAACAGACTGCACATTCATGCTATGATGTATCGCCGATACTGGGAGACACCGAGACCGAAACGAATGAACGAACAACCAAGTGAGCGAGCGAGCAAGGAGCAGCATGCATTCAAAAGTTCAGACACCCCGGCTCAATTCGTCCTCTCTTCTGGATGCACTTTGCAAGACGTTCTTGCCACCTTGCCTGTCCTTTCTCATTAGAGGAGCACAGCATGTGCCTGTGTGCTGACTCACTCACACACACGCACACTTTGGCTTAGCCACGTGCACCGGCCAGCCGCAACGCATTGTTCAAGGCAGGCGGCCTGTCCGTGCAGCGAAAACAGGGGGCAGATGGCAGCCATGAGCAACGACTCAGACAGTCCCTCTGGCCTTAGACAGACATTGGTCCAAACTTGCGAGGCAGGAGGGATGCGTGTGCGCAGTCACAGCAGGGGTGCCTGAGCACAGCCGTGCGTCCACTCAGCAGGGCGTGCGGCAGCTTTCTTCCCTGGATAAATTACTTCCTAGGCCTGACAATAGGTTTCGGAGGCTCCCGTTCCCAGCCTCAGAGCTATCAGGCCTCGTCAGAGCAAACGACCCACGGGCGAGCAAGAGGAAAGGAGGAAATATCAGCAGACTTTGAAAGAAACAGCATGCTTTAGTTAGCACAGTAAGAATACCCAAATGTCCAGTTGCGGACCCTCATACTGTTGTCCTTCGAAGACCTCGGGAGCGGCATATGGCGGACTGCCACACCATGTTGTCAGCGGCTCGCCACTTTTATAGAAGTTTCCAAAGCCAAAATCTGCAAAGGGAAAAGACAAGGCATCTGCTTTAGGAGCTGCAGTCACAGACGATGGCCAGCTTCGGTTTGCTGGCGTGCCTTCTGTGTCTGCAGTTTGAGATGTGTAAGAGTCTCTGTGAAAGGCTGTTTGCACTGTTATGCCCCCGGTATAACCAAGGAAGGCCTCGGCAGGTATAGGCAGCCTATAAATATGTGTATGAATAAATAGCTAAATAAGTAAGCATTGTATAATCAGTGCTCCGGTGTGCAGAATTTTCTAGTCTATCAATCACAGATGTCCAGTTCCAGCTGTCTTACAGACAAAAATATTAGGTTAAAGCAAGAAAGGACATGCATTTGGAACATGGAGGACATTTTGTTCAATCCTGCAAAAAAAAAAAAAATGTTCCTAGAAATCAGGGCTGGCATAAATTTTTAATTCTGGCTCTGGGAAGCCTTCATGTCATGATCAGCCGAAAAGGGCAACACATACAGCTCAAGAGGAAAGAGGCAGGGAACAGTTTAGTCATTTGGGGGAGCTGGAGACAGTGGAGAGAACGCGAGGGACCTGCTCATGTCCGTTCGCGCTTTAATGTCACCTGCAAAGCTAGCGCGAAGGTGGAAACGAAGGAGCAGGGGGTACCGTTTTCTTGTCTTAAAAGCCTCCAGGAGACCAGCAAGTGTCTGCTTCCAGTTCTCCCAGCATTTTACTCTGCCAAATACTTCTGTCCAAAGTGTAACACATTATTTGCATTCCTAACACAAGATCTGAACGGCTTAGCGTCACACACACGAGCTGTTAGCAAAGCACAGGACTCGAGGCCTTTTTAAGGGAGCCCTTGTGGATGAATCTCAACAGGCTGCTGGTTTGGTCTTATCTCCCATCTAAATAGTTCAGAGGCACACGAACACCAGAGCAGATAAATGCCACCTCCAGATGTCACCGAGACTTCGCACTGCTCTGGCGAGGGGTTCGCGGCATTTTGCCGAAAAAGTATCCCGAAGTTACCTCTCGCAACTCGTGTCATTAGATGTTGCTAGAAGCAGCATGAAGCAAGGTTTTGTTTTGCCTTTTTGTTTTCAATAGTAACTCATTAATGATACAATACAAAAAGGCAACAACAATAACAAAAGAAAAAGAAAAAAAGACTTATACAGAAAGATTGAATTAGACCAGTCTATCATAACAATTAATAAATAAATTATGTAATACTAAACACAAAAAGCACGCCTCCACATCAGGATCTTATTTATGTATATATACCGTTTTTCCCCTTTCCTCTCTCTCATTAGGACCCCTTCCCTATCCAGAAAGCAAGACTAAAATATGGTTGCACCTTCAAAGAGCTTTTGGATTATCCTAAAGTCCTATGGACAGATGGCTACTGTTTCTTTGCATGTGGATGCCCAGAGCAAGTTCGTGTGTGTGCAACCCACTCTCCTAGAAACAGGGTGCAAGTGAGAAAGTAAAAACCAAAATGTTCTGCATCTGCACCTCAAGTAAGTCGGAACATAGGAAACTGCCCAATGAAGGCATTTATTCAAAATTATTTTTCGAATTTGCTATGGCAGGAGAAACATGGCAAAGGGCTGAGCAGCATTTTCAGAAGGTCAACCTGCCCAAAAATCACTGGCCAAATTTTGCTTCTCTTGGACCAGGAAAGTGGATAATAGGAAGTTTTGCCCAGCAGTAACTCCTGATTTAGCATTAGCCATTTGAGATGCATCAAGTCTTGGGCTTGCAGGCAGTGGGGAAAGAAGAGACTGTGTTACTTCAATTATAGTTTAGCATTGTATCTAAACAATAAACTGTGTATAATCACAACTCTGATTAAAGGAGATATACCAGCTTCTTAAACTATGATTTGAAGCTGGACTGATTCTGCCAACCATAGTTAAGACTAACCTTTTGGACATCACAATTGGACATCACAACAAGCCATGTCTAGTCTAAAACCCAAGTGAATGCTTCCAAACTCTTCCTTGAAGCTCTGAAGGAGACAGTGCCTTATGAGCCTGAAGGTTTATCCCCCAAGTGCTTAAACCAGAGTTTAGCATAACTTTCTCAGGCAGCTTGTGGGTGTTTTACAAGCTGGCTTTACGAAATACATGGCTGTTTGTCCAGGATATACAATTGGCAGTGTTCCTCTTAGGCAGCGTTGTTGAGATGTGTCTAATGCTTTGTAACTCTCTTGAAGCCTTAAGATTAAGCTATGGAGCATTTCTAAATAAAGAGAAATCCAACCAAAACATTAGAATAACTAAAGTCACTCAAGAGTGTTTGGTCTTCAGAAGGGTGGTGGAAGGGGCAATGTGCTGGGTTCCAACATGCTTATCCGCCTGCTTTTAAGGATTGTTATAAATAAGGATCTTGACAAAAGGAAATGGGCTACAGCATCGACTACAGCAGGGACGTTATGAAATCACGAGTGGAATAAAAAATAAACTTAATACCTGCCGAGATCTTTTCAGTGGCAGGGAATGGGCTAATTTACTTTGCTATCCCTTCCAGCCCTGAAGTGATCATTTTCTGGGTGGGAAGAAACTTTTAGCTGTACTCCTCTGAGAAACAAATACTGCTTGTCCTGTCCTTCCGTCTTCCCCACATCTAAAGGCTGTAGCATCGAACTGGAATAACTTACATCCTCTGTTCGTCACACCTGCTGTTGCCCCTCACTGCCAGACTCCCTTTTGGCAAACTTTTAAAAAACTCACTGCAGCAAACCTTGCAAGAGATGAAGCTGCTTTTCTCAACTTGAGCCTCAAAACTCTAATTCTGAGCTAAAATCTAAAAACAAGACAAGACGAAAACTCACAGACTTCCCAAGGGTGATAAATAGAATTCATTCTTCTGGTTTCAAGGCCTTTGTAAAGCATTCCTCACCAGGAAGTTTCCAAACCTGATTATCATACTTCTGATAAAGTAAAAAAAAATACTTGTATGATCAGGGAATGCCTTTTAGGCAGCACTGACAGTTTCGAGTATGAACATCTCTGAGATGCCTCTATTTTTTATGCTAATGTGTAAGAGAATTTCAGAGGAAAGGAAGGTCCCACTTTTACAGATCGACAGGAGAGGGCTGGTTGCGGGGTGGGAAGGTAGAATCCTACAACTGACTTTCTGTTCCTAAGCATTCCTGGGAGGTGCACCACTTTTTAGATGCTTTGGGTGCCAATCCTCAGCGCTACATTTTAACAGAATATACCTCAGTATTATTTAAGAGATCTAATCCTTACCCATGCATGAAATTCCAGGTCTTAAAGAAGGTTCTCTGCTAAAGACGATGCACCAAGAAGCTGGACTCATCTTCCACACTGAATCTGTAGGCCCTACTTCTCCGCCCAGGTGGGAACAGAGAGGGAGACTGGCTTTTATCCCCACGCACAATTAGGATGGGGTGCCCTAAGCTAAGGTGGGTTGCAGCACTGTTTGGTTAATAAAGGGGGTGCAGGTTTACCAGCTGTGGAGCCGGAAAAGCCTCTTCTGGCTTTTTAGCTGTTAGACAGAAGAATAAATTTGAGCTGACCCAATTCCCCCTGCTCCTGCTTAAGACACGGCATCTGCTAAAATTCTGTGCACTTTAAAAAGGGGAAGAAAATCTGTTCTCCCTTACATCTGGTCATCCCAGACCCGGGGTGGGCAACCTGGCATGCTTCTGAGGGTCTGTGGGCCAAGTCACCTGCAGGCCCCCAGACTGCCCGCTCCTGCCCTAGAGAGAAACACAGGAAAGTGCGTGGGCAGGTGAAGCGAAGGCACGTGGGTCCCGCATGCAGGCTGCAGTTAAGGCGTGAGCCTGAGGGTTTGAGGACGCTGAAGATGACACTGCCAGGTGGAAAGGGGGGGAGAGAACCGGAGCAGTGACCACCAGCTTTTCTGCTCCTCCCCAGCCGCAAAAAGGGGGCAAACGAACCCCTTGGAAGACCCCCAAGTTTGGCCTCTGCTTTCCCCTTTCAGACGTCACGTCTCCCTCTTTGTTTCTGAGACCTAGTCCTAAACACACCAGATCGGTCTCCCTATTAAACTTGCTCTGTTGGTTTAAAAACGGCCTCGAGCTGCCAGATTTAAACATTCTTTTGCCCAAAAAGAGCAAATGAGTTTAAGGGCGGGGGGGAATTTAAGACTGTGGATCTGTTTGTCAGCAGAAGGCAAACTGCTTGGCTACGTTGGAGAAATTGGTGGAACTTTTGTGATTTGGTAATGTGAGCAAGGCAGCGCTCGCTCGTGGAGAGGTGCTGATAAAAGGAAAATGTGTGTGTGTGTGTGTGTGTGTGTGAGGGAGGGAGGGAGGGAGGGGGGAGGCAGATCAACCTGACCCACTGCAGGAACTGAATACTGATCACGGGTCACTCGGTCCTGACGTCAATGCATGTTATACGGTCCACCGGCGGCAGCAAAGAGTGCTGTGCAACATTTCAAAATACCAGTCCTCCCACAGCCGCTTTCCTTCAAATGACCCCCCTGCAATCGACTGCTGCAACACTCTGCTGCGCACAGCGCCGGTCGGTCGTGCTGCTCTTCAAATTGCTCCACGGGGCTTAACCCTCCTGGCCTTTAAAGCGGCTAACGTGTCCTTTAAGGAGCTGGGCTAAGGAAACGCAAAAGAGCATCTCTGCAGGATCAAAGGTGCAGCAATGCCCGGTCCGCCCCACGGAACGAGCGAGGTCGTGCTACCCCCCTCCCCGTCGCACGCGCAAGGCGGGCATTTATCAAGCACCCACACTGGTCACCGTGTACTCCTCCAACGGCTGCAAAATCCGTCCAGAAGAACATTTTCTAAGAATAGCCAAGAGGATTATATTCATTCCTAAGAAATTGGGAGCCTGACAAAATTAGCAGTTCTTTCTGCCCCTAAGGAACTGACGTGACGATCATTTACCAATAAACCGACTGAAAGGGATGTCTTGGGGCTGGCTAAGTCAGCCGCCCATACTGTGCTTGCAAATGTTAGGACAATCTCACCAAATCGGTCACAGATTTGGAACAGCAGCATGGGACTGATAAAAATCACCACACGGCTAAACAGAGCAGGATCCGGCCACATGCTTTACTGCAGCGATTTATCACAGGGTAATATGCTACCGGCATCCATCTAAAGTTACCAGAGACTGAGCTTTTGCTTAATTCCCATGTCATCATTTAATATCATTTATTTATTATCCTTGATAAATCCCTTGTCTGCCCACTTCTACATGTCTAATTTAAAATTTCAATAACGTAATGCAAGCACGGCAGAATTAAAAACAAAAGTAAACTTCCTTTCAAACAGGTCAAAAGCACTTCATCAAAGGGGTGGCCAAGCACTGCAGATTCCACCGCGGACTTAGACTTGTTAGGGCTGGAGCTAACCTGGCCTCCCTCGGGAGGGGCCGCTACAGAAAAGGCCTTGCCTCGGGTGCCCACCACCTGGGCCTTTTTTGGTGGCTGGATGTGCAACCAGACCTCCGATGAAGACCCCAAATCACATACAGGCTCACGCTGGATGAGAGCACCTTTCAGAAGACCTGGCTCCGACCAGCAGCTTGAGGGAGGCTCAGGAAGCAACTGGGAGCCAACTCAAGCTGGTTCGAGACTGAGAGGTGGACTCTAAAAATAGTCTTGCGCTAGCTGCTGTTCCTTCCCGATAGTCAAGGGCTGTGCCGTGTAGGGGTCATTACAGTAGTCTGAATGAGAGCTAATTTAGGAATGGTAACTATGCAATTATTATTCGGGGGAAATGCCTGGGCAAATATTCACTGGAAAATGCAAGGTCTTTCCACAAAGGACAGAGATTCAATATTTAACAATCAGGTCAGCATTAATTTGGGCGGATAACTTCAGAGAAGAGCAAATAGTCTCTTCAAGCAGACAAGACCAGTGCCAGCATCACGGACGAGCAATCACCATTGCTCACATTTCAAAAAGAGGTCCCAAAAGCCATCAAAATGCATAGCTTTAGGTTATGCATTGAGGATAACATTAAGTAATGATGTGGTGACAGAGACAGGCTTGGAGAGGGAATTAGACTAATTAACGGGGGTAGGACTATCAACAGTAATGATAGTCTGGATAGGCTGGATCATGACTCTCCACCAGCAGGTACAAGATTACTTGTCCAGCGAGGGAAACAGGTCTTGCCTTGCCTAACCGTACACTTGCAGGGATCTTTGGGGTAGCCCCTGCCAGTAACAGGGGCTGAGCTACAGGGGCCTTTGGTGTGATTCCAAAATACTCTTTCCACCTTGTGGAATTCAGTTTAGAAGGCACCGCAGAATACTGGAATAAGTAAAGGTAAAGGTTTCCCCTTGACATTACGTCCAGTCATGCCTGACTCTCGGGGGCAGTGCTCATCTCCGTTTCCTGGCCGAGGGAGCCAGCGTTTTTCTGCAGACGGTCTCCGTGCTCATGTGGCCGGCGTGACTGAACACCGAAGTGCACGGCACGCAGTTACCTGCCCACCAAAATGGCACCTTTTTACCTACTTGCATTTGCACGCTTTCGAACTGCAAGGTTGGCAGGAGCTGGGACGGAGCAACGGGAGCTCACCCCGTTGTGCAGATTCGAACCGGCGACCTTTCGATCAACCAGCCCAGCAGCACAGCGGTTTAAACCACTGCGCCACCTGCATAAGAACTGGACTGAAAACCTGGCATGGCCTGCATCATATCCCTGCTTTGCCACTTTGGGCTAACGACACAGCACAAAGAGACACACACCTTACAAGGTTAGAATGGTGGGTGAGAGCACAGCCGTGTGTGTTCAGAGCATGGGCAGAATAAAAAAAAGGAGTAAGCAGACAACTTGTGCACAGACAGTGTCCACTTTGAGCCTTCAGGTCACGGTGTCCTAATGATTCCAGTGTTGCTCTTTTTGGCACTAATCCAACTGGGAGATGCAGAGGTCTGCAAGCATCGCAAGAAACTGGCGCAAGTTGAATTGGACTAGAACGGAATGAGCAATACCCACATGGACAGACGGATATCCCAAAGAGAGCTTTCCAATTTGATTCTGACAGCTCCTGAAGTGCCTTACTAAGGAAAATGCTACAAGGGGAATGTCAGTTGTAGAAAAAAAGAGGGTGGGGAGCACTTTTTGGTTGCAACAAAAAATACAAGCACTACTGACACAACCAAGATGTCCTTGTCTCATAACTCTTCTTTTTCTGCCCTAAGGAAGGCAGGAAAGGAGAGCAGAAAATGGCTCCATTTTAGTGATCACTGCAAACTTATAGTACAAGGAACCGAACACTTCCCCATTCCTGACTTCTGCTTTACAATGTAAATTTCCAGTCACCGCGAGGTGGAAAAATATCATTGGTGCTTAATGTGAACACATTCGTTCTTTGGGTGTCAGTGATCCATTTGCTCCTGAGACACAGGAACGCCATGCTAGCTGTTCTGTCTTCCCTGAAAAAGAAAATCTCATTTTGGGATTCTCTTAAGGAGCCATTTTACTACAAAAACATTTCCTTTCCTGCAAATCTTCCACTGGTAAGAGGACTGCTTCAAAGCTTTATCATCCACTGAAGTTCCCTAAACAGTATCTCAATATAGGGCTTGCCTCTTATGTTGCAAAGGATCTACTGGCGTGGTTTGCCAACCATAAGGAGATCCCTTAAATAGAGGGGCAAGTGCTGAATGAGGGAGGGAACACTCCATGACCCCCATGAGGTCCCTCAGCTATTTGGGGTCCTGCCCATTCGTGGCGAGGTAAGGATTTGGCGGCAGCAGTACACTAACTTTTCTGCAATTTTTTTTTCTTTGGCTGCAGCTGCTCTTCTTTTTCCATCATTGTCTGTTCCCTACGTAAGTAAATGCTAAGAAGTCTTAAACAGACATTATTCCTTCCTCCTTGAAGCTAAACACCATCTGGAAACACTGCCAGACCATCTTTTATTCCAAGAACTCCAGCATCCATAGAACTTTCAGCAGCTTAAAAATGTTCTGCTTTAGAGTGTCCCTCATTTTTGAAATTCTGGTCTGGCAATTCAAGAATCCTTCGCATTATAACTGAGGCAAAGGAAAATTATCCTATGCAAGGAACATCTGCTGTGTCTAAATTTGTAATTAAAATTAAATCAGGCGTGCTAAAATAACTCAGAAAGTTTCCATTTTGAGCTGCTGCTCTTTTTTAATACTGAAGAATTATTTGATTAATTTGATTGTAACCTGCACATCTGGAAGAACCAGCAAATTGTCATGACACTACAAAAATGAATAAAACCCTGCAAAATTACTGCCATTTTCCCAGGAAGAGAAACAATATGCAAGTAGGGGCAATTTCTAGCAAGACAACCTACATCACGCACCACACCGAGTGCGATGGACAAGGCTACCTTTTCTTCCTCTTCTAGTGATGCCATAGGAAGTTGATGAAAGCCACCTCAAGGAAAAAGGTGCAGCATCCCCCACAGTTCAAAACAAAAGGAACAACGTCTTTGTATTACCTGCTATTTTAATATTCATGTTGTTATCAAGCAAGAGGTTTTCAGCTTTGAGGTCACGGTGTACAATCTTCCGGCTGTGACAGTATTCGACAGCAGAGAGAATTTGCCAAAATTTGCGCCTGGCCTCGGATTCACTCAAGCGCCCATGGTTAGCAAGGTAGTCTGTGGAAAGACAGGTGAGTTTCAAAGGGTTAATCACACGGAAAGGTGTCTTTTTCAAGCACTTATCACAGGTACGCAGCAGAGACAGTTTGCTGACCTCGTTCCCAAGCGTAAATGGCAAACGGTTGTGACAGTTGCTCACTGCTTGTGCTAATCTGTTTGCTCCAAGATTTACTAAGAGGAAGCCTTTTGACACTCTTTGTCTTGGCTTCTGCCTTTGACAGGACCAATAAACAAAAACAGAAGTCCACTGGATGTTCTGTCTTTCTTGCATGGTACGATCTGTACTGTCTACTGGACCCGCCAAATGTGTTCTTGCATGGAGGCACGCTGGGTGTCCTATGCACTACACACATAGATAGCATGAGAGGCATCTTCTTTTCTTTACTCCTCATCAAAAGCAAGGACGTACAGTCTTGGGAACGGGGGTAGCAAACTGGGGACGTCATCGTCCCATTTCAGAATTCTGAAATAAAGGATACCTGCCATGGTACAAGCAGAGCTGAAAGCATTTCACATCCTGAGCACCAGTGTTAAGCTGCAGGGACCACCCTCAGTTTACAGAGCTACAGACTGAAGGAAGAACGTGACAGCAGAAAGCAAAGGGGTGTTTCTGGCAACAAGAGATGGGATGCAGCAATCGCCACGAAGACCAGCAGGATTTGAAGCCTGGAATGTTACAGTGCAACTTGACTAGAGAAATGCACTCTGCACCAGCCCGAGAGGACCACTCTGCACGCTTCGCATGTGCCGCTCACAAGGCTGCTGACCGTATTCTTCCGACTGTATGTATCAACCAAATGCTCAAATAATACCAGGCTTTTAAGATTGAGGGGAATGGCTCATTTTAAAATGCATTCCTGTTCGCCCCTCGAAGTGTTATGAGAAATGGCAACATTTCTTGTTCACAAAGAGGAAATAACTGGAAGGCAGATGCTTCTCCCTTCAACCTCTCCTGGAAAGGAACTGAAACAGCAGCATGTGCAGCCTCTGGAATGAAGAACCGAGCTTGAAATCTCAGGCCAGAGGCTGAGCTATGTCCACGAAGGAGGCTTCCCAGAAGCTGACCCACTGAAAACAGCTGCAGGAGGTGGGGAGTGGGAAGGGGAACTGGTGAGAGGGGAGCAGCTTGTGCTGCTTTGCAGGCTGGAAAGAGAGGACGAGAAGAGCAACCCATGAAAGGCAGATCCACACTGCTGTATCCCCAATTTTTCTGCTCAAGGGAAAGGATAAAGTGGCGACAGATTCAGATCCCAAAACACTCTTGCTGGGTGATCATACTTGGGAGAAGAAGAGGAAGAACTTCTGAAACTGAATGACTCAGTCATACCCACCAAGCCATCTAAACATCTCTAATCTGTGTCCACACCTCATGCCAGTAACAGTGAAAATCTACTCTGGACGTGCATTTCGTAGACAGAACTGGAAGTATTTTACTAGCTCTCCCCCAAATGGTATCAACATACTTATCGGGACTTCCGCGGCCAGGGAAATGAGACAAAACGCTGAACAAAAAAGAAGGCTCAATCAAGTCAGCCTACCAAGAGATCAGCCGGTATATCTGCAAAGTGAGACAGGAAACTTGCCACAGGGAATCCTCCCCCTTCCAAGGAGCCCTTCCACCTTCTACTGAACCAGCATCTGAACGGGTTTCCCAACTGCCCAACAGGCAGGTTGGCCCGCAGTTATTCTCAGGCTGTGACTGTCCTGAGACGCAGAGCTCCATGTGTTGGTGGATGGCTACGTCATGCCCTTGCAAGCAAGCGACTCTGCAGCAGTGGAAGACACAAGGAAGATTCTGCAGTCCGTCCCAGGAGAGGGGGCAGCTGATAGCCAAGTGAAGTCCCTACACCCTCTCCGTCTCCCGCAAGGCTGGGGGGAAGAAGGAAATCCAAGGAATGGCCAAGGTGATGAGCATTTCCTCTGTTGCTCTGTCACTTCGTGGGAAAGCACTACTTCCAGCAAACCAGATGCTGCAGGATGCTAAGGTTTGTGTGGCTGAGCAAGGTGGCTACTCTGGACTTTTGCAGGGGAGATCACGTACAGCTCCAAATACGAATTCTACCTGTGACTTTTAAGAACTTACAAGAGACTAAAGTGCCTTCTCCCATGGGATCAGCATTTTGTCCTTCAGCCCAGCTTAGGGTTTACCCACCCCAAAAACCTACTGGGAATTGCATTCTTCCTTGCTGCTGATTTTTCTGTTGAAATTTGGGAGTACAGCAGGGAGAAAAAAAGCAATCCTATGCAAGAACCATGTTGGAAATTCCTCAGGGGGGCAGGCCGGCCTTCTTGTTTTACGCACATCCACATGTAAATCGATCAACAACCTGGGCTTCTGTTCAGATGACAGTACTTAATTCGCCATTCTAGGCTGCATTTCCATTTTGCTCCTTACCCTCAAGGAACTTTGGTGCCCTTTTTAATTCACCAGGAAGTGATGAATGCAGCCTTAATAATTACTAGAAGAAGGCGGAAGCACTTTCAGATACAGATACGGAAGATGGACCAAAAGTTGCAATCCCATGACGCTGGAGGGCAAATTTAGCACAGAGAAATTTTGCATCTTGGAACATGTCTAATGAAGTTTAATACGCAGAGAAAGAACAAACATTTTCTTCTGGCAACATTTCAGATAAACAAAAACGATGTCAGAAGAACGAGTCTAATTTACAGTACCAGCTAAGCTGTTTGTGGCACGGAATGTAATGAGGAGAACTTGGCTGGCGAACGACGACAAGCGACCAGGGCCCGGCCCAGTCATGTTAGAGTCCCTGCACCGGAATTGAATGATATCCCAGAGTAAGTGGCTTGCTTAGGAGGATTATAGAGAGTGTTTGGCTTTCAGTGTCATTGTCACTTGCAAAAGATGAATCTGTCCTAAGTCCATGGGGGTTACAATAACCTGGTATTAGCATACACAAAAAGGGGACTCAAGATTTCGCAGCTCAAATCCTCACAGTATTTTGCTGCTGGCTTATATTTCTTACAAGTGTATATTTAGTACTAAGAAGGATGGATCATCACGCAGGACTAGAATACCGCTTGTTTCCTACAGAAATCTGACAACGGTTTTCCAGAGTGCTGGGCTGTCAGCATTCCGCTTTACAAAGTGTTTTTCTAGCCCATGCAGGCAGCAAATGTTCAGTCCGCTTATCGTGCTGGGAAGCCTGCAGGCAGGATATACAGAAAATGGATGCCTTCTGGCAGAAGCCGGGACTCATCCAAAATTTGTACAGCAATTCTCGTCTCTCAAATGTTCATTCCATTTTTGCGTCATTCCTCCCTACAAACCATCTGTTTCATCCCCGGGAATGTGGCGCAGCCAAGGCACCTTACGCTGGGGTCAAGAAGCCTTGGAAAGAAACAAAAAACACCCGTGTCGAAGATGATGCACAGTACGATGAACATGATGGCAGCACAGAAGCAAGCAAGAGAAAGCTTCCACTGCCCGTTCTGTGGCTTCCTGATGCGACCCGGGATGCCTCGGAGGACCTCCAAAGTCGTCCTGGTTGTTCTTTCCCTGTATCGGAGGCTCCAGTTCCACTTCCGGGGAGACGGCGGCAGTGGGGTGCACCGTTTTAATGAGTCTGCCGCCGACCTGCTACGCTCGACAGGGCGATTCAAAGCCATGTGGACCAAACATCAAATTTTCAAAAGTTACTTTCAAAACTTGGAAAATCTGCCGGAACTCCGTTCCGGTGCGTTCTGTGACAAAAAAAGCACTGCTTTTTACTACATAGAACTCAGTGCAGAGGAAGCGAATGGAGGTAAGAATAAACAGGGAGGTATGCTCTGTTGAGCAACAAGTGTTTTGGCTTCCTTCAACAGGTGATGAGGACTAAGGGATTATGCTGAAGGCTTTCCATATAAAGGGTTTTGGTGGGTTTTCCTTTTGCTGGATTGGGGAAGTGGAAATTGAAGGAAAAGTGAGGCAGCAACATAAAGGTGGTCTGGGAAGCAGTTCCAAGCAAAAGGGACAGCGAGGACGGTCTCTTTAAGTTGGATTCCTTTCACATTTATGCAGGAAAAAATCCTACAGCCACCGCAGTCTGGGCACGCCGGCAGTTACACAATTGCTATGCCTCTATTTGCTTCTGGTTTTTATTATTTGGACTTTTTGTAAACTCCCTCGGTTGGTACAGAAAGACAGCACAGAAATGTTTTAAACAGATGAATGAAACAGAAATAAATAAAATTAAAAAAAGACCAAAAGGTTGCAATCTCAAGCATACAAACCTCAAGGGAGTGCATGAAATACATTTCTGGGTGTAGTCACGGCAGGCATGCCAGGAAAAAAAAAAAAAAAAGCAACCTACGAGCATTACGATTCTGAGATCAGATGCATGAAGTGTTATCCTGAGTTCCAAGATGCGTGTATGCGTACATACATGTGTTCACACGCATGCACGTACACACAACTGGAGGGTCTGTAAACAGTCACATCAGCAGAGAATGGAGACCAAACTTACACAATATGAATTTGTTAGCTTGCACACTGTGGCAAGACTTCTTATTTCCACTGAGATCAGTTTGACCCAGTTACCGTTCAGTCAAGCTTCTTTACCGTTAGACTAAGCAAGGCCAGGCATGGTCAGAAACTGGATGGGAGACTTGAGTCGAGCTGAGCAGGGGGCTGGGCCTGATGGCCTTCTGGGTCCCTTCCAGCCGTATGATCCTAAGAAAGTGGCAGGTGGACAGCCCGACATTAGACCGAAAGCACATGTTGAAATCTACCATGCCAAAGTGACATTACTGCGACAAGTACTGACAGCAAAGCCACCGGAAAGAAATGTACTTTGGGTGCCACGGAGCTTTCCCATTTTGTACGCTGTTCTTGTTTCTAAAGCTAACATAACTTTCTCCAACTTAAAGCACACTCAGTGAAATGCCTTAACCCATTTCCTCTTAATAAGGATCCACACAACAAAATTACACACCAAAGCAAAAGTTCTACTAACCAGGAAGGTGTAATTTTAAAGCAGAACAAAGCCTTAGAT